AATACTGGGCCTAGGATAAAATCATATAACATAATTGACAGTTTAAGTGAAATTACTGGATTACAATAGTGAAAGATGAAGGGTACTTCCCTTACCATAAGCATTAAAGGTAAAGAGTAAAGGTTTTCCCCTGACATTAAGTCCAGTTGTGTCCGACACCGAGGGTTGGTGCTTATCTCCATTTCTGAGCCAAAGAGCTGGCATTGTCCGTAGATGCCTCCGGTATGACTGCATGGAGCGCTGTTACCTTCCAGCCAGAATGATACCTATTGATCTACTCACATTTGCATGTTTTTGAACTGATAGGTTGGCAGAAGCTGGGCCTAACAGCAGGAGCTCACGCCACTCTCCAGATTCGAACCTGCGACCTTTTGGTCAACAAATTCAGGAGCTCAGTGCTTTAACCCCCTGTGTCAATGGGGTTAAAGCATTGGACTCTTTAAATAGTCACATCCTATCACCCTATGTGAGACTTGAAGCTGTATGGCAAATCAGAGTCTCTCCTGTTCAAACCTCTATTCTGCTACAAAAATTTTAAAATGAGTTAGTTTTCTTTTGGTAAGCTAAATGAATTAAATACTTGCACCATTCCTGTTGATGTTGCATGTTTTCTTTTGTCAGCAATATTTTCTGGAGTGTGCAGAGGCTACAAATTAATTTGGAGAAAGACAGAGACAAATAAGTTAGTCCATGCTTTGCATTTCTTGTATTGATTTTTTAAAAAACACTATACCCCTTCAATGCCCTGAAAACGACCAATGTGATGGAAGCAAATAGGATGCTTCATCGGTAAATAAAACAATTTTACACAACTTTACAATGAGCTTGCCTCCATATCTGGAACATCGAATTTCAGCCTACTATCAGTACGATGGACAAGTGGTCTTCCTCCACATAAAATGGGTCTTTAGATCCCAGAGGAAACATCTATATGCCTAAGTTTTTACTCCATGAGACTGAATTCATGGCTGTTTCCTATAGAGCAGCTGAAAGTCCAAGATCTATTTCAGCACATTGTCACTTGATAAAGGGCCATAAGTCCCTTTTCTGGACAATTGTATACAATACATAATAAACACTTCTCTTTATAAGACATTTAAATGTAATTATATTCCTTTTAAATTCTATCATCAATATAAATTTGTATCCCAGTGTCGAGTCTGGGAAAATGTAACTTATGTTCTTCAACCTTGAAACAGTAACTTGACCTGCTTATCCAGTGTTGATGGATACTTTTCAATTGGTGCAACCTGAGGATGTGGACAGGATCCTTGGAGAAGTGAGAGTTACCACATGTATTCTAGATCCTTGCCCTTCCTGGCTGATGAAACAGGTCAGAGGCGGACCGGCAGAGTGGGTGAAGGTCTCCTTGGAACAAGGCAAAATTCCAACTTGCCTAAAGGAGGGCGTTGGAGTTGTGAGACCAACATTAAAAAAGACATCCCTGAACCCTTCTATAATGGACAATTCTAGCAAGTGTCCAACCTTCCATTTCTGAGCAAGGTTCTGGAGCGTGTGGTGGCCTCCGAACTCCAGAGATTTCTTGATGAAACAGATTATCAAGATCAAATTCAATCTGGTTTCAGGCTTGGTTATGGAATAGAGACAGCTTTTGTCACCTTGGTGGATGACCTACGAACAGAGTTAGACAGAGGGAGTGTGTCCCTATTGGTTCTCCTGGATCTCTCAGCAGCTTTCAATATAATTGACCATGGTATCCTTCTGGATCACCTTGCTGGGATGGGACTGCGAGGCACTGTCTTACAATGATTCGGGTCCTTCTTAGAGGACTGTACTGAGAAGATGGTGCTGGGGGGACTCCTTTTGAATCCCGGCTGTTCTGCTGTGGGGTTCCTCAGGGTTCCAGTTTGTCCCCATGCTGTTCAACATATAAATGAAACTGCTGGGAGAGGTCATCCAGAATTTTGGTGTGTGGTGTCACTTATATGTGGATCACACCCAGCCCTACTACTCTTCCCATGAAATGCCAAGGAAGCTGTCCTGACCCAAAACCAGTGCCCGTGATCAGTAATGGACAGGATGAGGGCAAACAAATTGAAACAGACAAGACAGAGGTACGCCTGGTCAGTCAGAAGGCAGGCAAGGGAGTAGGGGATCCAGTTGACCATGACCTTTGAAGCCCTAAATGGGTCAGGTCCAGGCTATTTGGCCAACCGCATCCCCTTGTACGAACCTGCGCGAGCCCTGTGAACTTCAGGAGATGTCCTCATCTCGGTCCAATCTCCATCTCAAACTTCATTGGTGAGAACGAGGGGGTCTTTCCGGTGGCTGCCCCTCGACTCTGGCCTCCTCCCTGCTGTCCTTCTGGTGGCAGGCTAAAACCTTTTAATTCAGGCAGGCTTCTAAAGTGTTTAAAAGTAATTCAGGGGGTCCTGTGGTTTTTAACTCTGAATTTGTTTTAATGATTTTTAGGTGTGCTTTAAAAAAAATACTGTTTGTATTTAATCCTATTTTAGCATTTGTACATTTGTATATTTTATGCTTATGATGATGCTTTTATATTAAGCTGCGTTGAGTTCCCTTTGAGGGAGATAAAGTGGGGTATAAATAAATATAACAACAACAACAAAAACTTACCTGCTAATGTTTTCTCTGGTGCACAACAAATACTGACACCTTTAATTGTCTATCCAAGACAGGAACCCCTGTTTTTGGTTGTTTTACTATATAGTGTCATGTACAATTGATGACACTACAATACAATACAATACAATTGATGGCACTATATAAATAAATGATAATGAGGAGAAAAAAATGCTAAAGTTCTAGGTCAGCTTCGAAGGTGTTACTTTAAACAAATGACAAGATATGGAAGTTAATGGCAAAATAGTTTGCCTTTACCGTCCTCTGGAACTGAAATAATGACTTTTCCAAGATTACCCAGTGGGTTTACATTTCCATGGCCAAGCAAGAATTCAGATGCTGGTCTCTGAAGTTGTAATTCAACCACACGGATTCTGAGATTAGTCTTGTCTTTCCTTATTTTTCTATGTACATTTTAGGGCTTCAATTGGAAAATCAGTAGAAAAAGTGTGTGACATTTTGAATGTTTAAACCAAAATACTTCATGGCACTTACAGCCTTCTAAAATGCAAACAGAATCCATTAAGCATTACTGTATAACTAGAGTTTTTATAAAAAGGAAAAACAATTTTAATAATATTGGTTCACTTAGGAGGAAAAGGTGCTCTCTTAAACACAATGTCTCTAAGGTAATCCAGGAGAAATGTATTTGTTCATTTGGCTGTAAAATCCTATTCTCGAGGGAGTGTTCCAAGGGAGAATTTCCTTTTAAAAGCCAAAGTCAACAAATGAAGACTCCAGGGGAAAGGTTTATTTTCTCTCATTTCTCCTGATATATAATTGAGAAGCGTCTGACTACAAGGAGGATATAGAAACTTATGCCTTTCCTCCATAGACAAGCATTTTGCTATGGAGGCATACATGTTGAAACAAATGTGGAATGAAAATTGGTAATCCAAAATTTTTTGAGGAATGATCAACAAATAAAATATTACATCTTATTCATTTTGTGTTAGTTACAACATCTATATAGGCAAATTATTCAGAACGGTATTATCGGGAACAGACCTAGACCTTCTGCTTATTACAGAAAAACATGAAGAAAAGAATTACCACCAGAAAATGACTTCCATTTTGGTGTTGTGTGTGCTTCTGAGTTATGGTGAAACTATCTGAGAGATAAGAGCAGAGTCTCCTCAGAATTATTTCATGTTGTGTAGGAGCTTTCCTTTTACGAGGAAAAATAATTTTACAATTGGTATGGAGAAAAGCATATTGTACTGCTGATTCTGAAGCTGTTCACTGTGTTGTAGGAATTTTATAATTTTCAAATTTTTATAATTTTATTAATGAAATGTTTATGTGCTGTTGATTATACTTATGTCATTGTATTTATACTTATGTACTGTTGTCTGCATGTAGCACTTGGGAGTGCTTATGTGAGCAGCCCTGAGTCCCTCTGTCGAGATGGTGGCGGGGTACAAATAAAGATTATTATTATTATTATTACTAATAATAACGTCTGTATTTTAAAAAAATAAAAATAAATGGTACCTGGGTTGTTGTACGTTTTTTGGCTGTATGGCCATGTTCTAGAAGTATTATCTCTTGACGTTTCACCTGCATCTATTACAGGCATCCTCAGAGGTTGTGAGGTCCTCACAACCTCTGAGGATGCCTGCCATAGATGTAAGTAGATGCCTGCCATAGATGAGTCCCCCTTCGGGGAGAGAAGGGTGGGGTATAAATATAGGAAATAAATAAATAAATAAATAAATAAATAAATAGGTGATATGTCAGGAGATAATGCTTCTAAAACATGGCCATAGAGCCCGAAAAACTTACAACAATCCAATGATTCTAGCCATAAAAGCCTTCGACAATACATAAATGGAACCTCTTTCTATTTATACAAATACTACTAAATGTTCTATTTTGGCTATTCTGAAATCATGGACAATGTGAAATAGTTTGTTTCTTACTATCTCATGTTACATTTGCAGCCAATGGAAATAAATTATAAAATTCCCATATTTTACTTTTTTACCATCCGAAGCTACTGTAACAATACATTCATACTGTGCTTGAACTCTCTCAGGGCTTTCTACTTTTCTAAGCACTAATGATCAAATGGCAAGATCAAAAGCCAGTTGTGAGCATGAGTTCCCCAGTTTCTTCCATAAAGACCACATCCTGGGTACATGGAGAGTCCTACTGTGCGCAAAGACTCTGCCCCTGCTTGCATCTGAAAACGTTGGAACTCTCCGCATGCATTCCCCACTGGTATCTCTCAAAGTATTTGTGAGTTCTAATAGCAAGAAATGAAGGTGACAGCTGTAGGTAAACACAAGAGTCCATTGAAGAATTAGTATAATCAATTTATGAATCAAAATAAAGTGGGTTTTGTTGAAAAACAAAATTATGTTCAGTTTTGCCGAAAGTAATACATGGATCCATTCTTTATATACAGTTTTATTCCACTAGAGATTGTAATTTTATACATAGTATAAAGGGGATCCTGATAGCACACATATACTTACTGTACCATACTGCTTAAGAACCATTTTACATAATAAGTATTAAGTATCCTATCGTTAAAACGGCATCCAGAGATCTTTTTTTAAAAGAATCCTACATATAAATGGATATTTATCATATGCACAGTGCAAGAATGCTTCCATAATATTTTAATCACAATAATCAAAACACTGCGATTTAATACTAATTTTAAAATTATGATGGCCTGTGAGATATCAATGAGATGTTATTTATCCCTGTAAGAATCAATAAAGCAGTGTTAAATTCCAGATAAAGAAGGCAGAACGTTATCAGTAGTGTCTGAAAATAAACCTTTCACAATGATCAATGGTTCACAAAGCATCCCATTTATCTCCTTACGTTTTCCAAAAATGCACCATCATGTGAAAAGGGAACCGAATAGATTATAATTCTTCCTCTACTAATTATGAATGTTCTTTGAAAACTGCATTATTATTACAGGAAGTGACTCTTGCCTCCAGCCTGGGATCAAACAAGATGGACTCTGTAAAGGAAGGCAGGATTCCTCAGTGCTGGGAGATTGATATTCCTCCTTTCCACATTCAGACACACATATATTTATATCTAAAAAAATACTGTGTTATAAACCATCTTCAAAGTGTACAAAATGACCATGGAAACCAAACTTTAATCATGTAAACAAATCTGGACACAACTTCTTCATTTTCCCTTTTATAGCATGGGGTGGGGGGTGGGGGGTGGGGAGTGAAAAATCTTGCTCAGAGGCATGACAAGTCCTCTTGACAAGAACCACAGCATCACCAACACAAATAAAACATAGGCTATATTCGCAGAGAGCGCCTAATGCTTTTCATTTTTTAAAAAATCCCCTCTTTTTCATCTCCCTCAGAGTTCACGAATGTTTTGAGTTCAATAAATAGTACAAAAATAATCCTTTATTTAAAAATATTGAGAGCCACTGTCCCCAGGTCCCGTACAGGAAATTTGTAAGAGCAAGGAAGTTTTTTTTGTGTGTGTGCGTGTGTAAAAAAATCCAAACCAAATCACTCTGCAAAATGGAAACCTCATGGCAAGGACTATTTCTGGATACTCCATCTTCTTTGTCTCTTGCTGCAAGCAAAGGTTTCTGTTCTTCCAGTTAAGGGAACCAGTCGTCTCTGTCTCTCTGGCTGAGCAAAACATTTCCTTGGCTCCAGTTAACAACGGTTCAAAAGGCTTTGTTTACTGTATAAACCTTTCTTCCTGTGTTTAGAGGCTGAGTATTCCTGGTATTCCATTTTATTGAATGTTATGGCAGGTTTATTCATCACACAGATTACTTACTCTTCCTCTTCAGAGCCAACCTTGCCTTTTAGGCACGTCTAGCTTCCATGTGAAATAGGATTCATGAAGTTACTCTCAACTATGTCTGGTCAAGATAGAAGAACACTTGGTGTAAGTCTGCCCTTGGTTGCCTGGAACAGTGTTTCCTGGCTGCTTTCACCCCTCCTCTCCCAAGGTCAGAGGGCATTAGCACTCAGCATCTACAGTATGTACTGTGACAGCAGCCTGTAAGTGGTGACTGTGATGAAGTGCTGGATGATGCAACCTGTAGTGGTGGAACTTGTGGCTCAAGAGAGCAGCAGTTTGGGGAGGGGTGTCCAAGTCTAAATCTTCGTCATGATTCCCCACATCAACACCAGCAGATAAAGGGTCGTTGTTGCAGGGAGGGTTTTCACTGTCTTCCTGGGGACTCATAGTACTGTAACCTGGAAAGTAAAGGATGCAATGGTAAGAAATAGGATCCTGCAGCAAAAAGCTCAGAACCACATAATGTTCAGTATAAAGAATGAGCGCTCATGTCAGTAAGACAAATGCATCCAACAAAATGTACTATATGGCAACCGAGTATGACCCAGTATCCATGGAATCAGTATCCATGGTTTCATTCATCTATGACTGACAAAATATGTCTGCTCTAGGCATTTTCTGGGTCCTTTGGTACCATGCAATTGTGTTCTTGGAGTCCTTAATTGGAGTCCTTAATGTCAAGGCCCCCGGTGGCACAGTGGCTTAAACTGCTGAGCTGCTGAACTTGCTAACCAAAAGATCACAGGTTCAAATCTGGGGAGCAGTGTGAGTTCCTAATGTTAGGCCCAGCTTCTGCCAACCTAGCAGTTCAAAAACATGCAAATGTGAGTAGATCAATAGGTACCGCTCTGATGGGAAGGTAACGGCACTCCATGCAGTCATGCTGGGCACATGACCTTGGAGATGTCTATGGACAACACCAGCTCTTTGGCTTAGAAATGGAGATGAGCACCAACCCCCAGAGGCAGACACGAAATACTTGTAGAAGAGCAAACCACAGACCACTTAGTACAATGCAGTCTGAGCCCTGCCACATGCACAATGGAGGACCTTCTTACACTGACACCAGAGGCACTCCAAGTGGCCAGCTTCTGGTCAAAGGAAACTTAACATGATGCAAAGTTTTTAACTTTCTTTGTGGTTTTTCTATACATTATAACTGTATTCTCAAATCACTTCTGACATGATAAATCAATCAATCTAGAAGTAGCTTGACCATCTTAAAAAGTTAACATTCTAGCTCCACACATAAAACTTCATACATTATGGCCATATTTAGAATGCAACATGGAAACATCGTTGTGTATTGAGGCTATTTTGATTTCTTTTCTCGAAGGAGGTCAATAGACTATAAATGGAAGTTACTGAAGAATTGGCGTATTTCATGCATATTAATATCAATGGAGAATAGCTTTTGAAGTGCGTAATAATTCAAACAACTGAAATTAAATCCTCTCTACAGGGTATAATATTTATCTTGGACTACTTTCCCAAGAAAAGGTTCAGTTACAATACCTGTAAGTTGGAAGAAGCTGTATTACATTTAAACTTTTATCTATGTTAAAATAAAATTAGACAATATTTATTTTGAAATGGTACGTAAGATGCTACAAGACATCTTGGCATTTTTTATTCTTGTAATAGCCAGTAGAAGTTCTCTTTAATCTTCCAGCAGTTTTCTCTTGATGAAGACAGGAGCTTCCAGTTCTCTAAGACGTTATAAACTATGTCAGAGTGGATCGAGAAATACTGTGTAGGACTACAAAATGGCAATGTTCAAGAATTACTGACTTGCAATAAGCAAAGACTTGTGACTGAAAGGGGGAGAAAAGTCAGCTGTCCCTAATGCATCAATAGCAAAAATCTCTGCTAACTTGGCTACTCTTCTGTCATTTGGGAGAAATAAAGAAGCAAAATGGGAACAAAATCCCAAGCATTACAGGGCAAAGAACTGTTCTGAGTATGATGGATTGAATCTTTCCTTGAAAAGATCCAGGACTTCTTGGACATAGACAATCTGTAATTGAGATAATGAGAAAACAAAATCAAAATTAATAACTGTGGGATCCCTGTGGGATCTCATTTGTGCTTTCTGCTGAAGCTTTGGGTGTGTCATCTGTCTTTCAGTTAATGACAACACTGACTGGAGACAGCACCATTAAAATCCAAAGTTTTGGGATAATTTTAGCTAATTTGTTGCTACAAAGAATGCATTTAGGGAATGTCTTAATGATGATGACATCCTGAAAGATGAGACACCATAAAGTAAGTAAAGGTAAAGGTTTCCCCTAAGTCCAACTCTGAGTGGTGGTGCTCATCTCCATTGCTAAGTCAAAGAGCTGGCATTGTCCGGAGACACCTCCAAGGTCATGTGGTCAGCATGACTGTATGGAGCACCGTTACCTTCTCGCAGAAGCAGTACCTATTGATCTACTCACATTTCCATGTTTTCAAATTGCTTAGTTGACTGAAGCTGGGCCTAATAGCAGCAGCTCACCTCTCTCCCAGATTAGAATCGCCAACCTTTCAGTCTGCAAGTTCAGCAGCTCAGCAGTTTAACCCATTGCACCACCAGGGGGCCCGACCATAAAGTATATGGGAGTAAATGAATAGTCTATAAGCACATGTAAGGCAATATATATTGCTTTTCAACATAAATACGGCTTCTAATGAATTCCTATTAGAAAAAATGAATGCAACATATACTAATTCATTATAAATCTATAGAATTTGTACTTGAAAAATTTACTGAACGTATGAAATTGATATATTTCTGCACAGCAGCTTCCTAACATTCAACATATCCCATCTACCTGTGAAAGCTTTATAACTACACCAAACTGTGAGGAACACTATGATGCACTGAGCATTTGTGGGATGCTGCCCTATCACTATTTTATGACAGCTCTACTTCTGAAGCCACAGTGTTGCTATTCAGGCTATTTTTAAAAATTCCCATTCTATGTAGAGTAATCCTGTGCATTTTTCTTCAAAAACAGTAAATATTTTCTGTCTCCTTTGTACTGTTACCTCCTTCCTCATTTATTACATACAAAATCATTGTATATGTTTTGTAATACCAATTTTATATGTTTTATGATACACTTTTTTGTATTTGTATGCTATTTCATGCATAGTCATGGCTTTGTTTACTGTAATACAGTATATCACTCTTTTTAGTTGTTGCCAATGGGTTTATCCTTCATTCAGTCATGTTGTCTTCCACATATTTAGGGAATGTGTGTGTGTGTGTGTGTGTGTGTGTGGTTCACGTATACCCCAGTTAACAAAACCTCTGATGGTGAAGCTTCCTTTTACAAAGTGTTTTTAGCTCCATCCTGTCTATTTCCCTTTCTCCTCTTTCTCTGTGTAGCTGGAAGTTTTTTGTTTTAGTAGCATTGGCATTTGGGCAATGGAGGACTGAAAAAACACAGGTGTTGAATGTTGGTTGTAGCACTGTGTCTACAGTAAACATTGCAATACAGTTTTCACTGAGAAAGAACGGGATTCCACACTAGCTGACGCTAATGTAGTTGCTTATAACAGGCAAGGTAAAACAGCACTTGCCTCAAATTCTGTAATGACCATTCCTGAATATCAAAACAGAAAATGCAGAATAGATAAGCCAGCTTAATCAACTACTAGCATGTTGGGAAAAAACCAAACACCTAGATGTTTGTGCATCAAAATGGAAAAAAGTCTTTACTGATCTCTAGAAGACTCAAATTATTTTTGTTTATTCATGCAAAGCTTACCTGACCTTGTTTTGAATAAGAAATCTGTTGCTATATACTGAACTGCTTTTATTATTATTTTTTTGTGCTGTAGGAATCTAACTATATTCTGGCACCACATTTTCTGTTAAAGAAGTAGGACCCAGAGCCAGTGTAGCTGTTTGTTTGGTGGATTACAACTCTGGAGAGCAGGGTTCAAATTCCCACTCAGCCATAGAAGCCCACAGACCGTCTAGCTTCAAAAGAAGACAAAGGCAAAGCCCCTCTGAGCAAATCTTGCTGAGAAAAACCCATAACATCAGTCCAAGAACACATTTACTTTCTTAACTGAGGACTAGCTAAACTTTAACTTAATCTTTAAGGAAGAAAAATGGACCCTTCCATTATATAAAAAGTTCAGCACAATGAAACACATTCATATAACATGGTCTTCCCAAATGCACATACATAGTTTGTGTGTCAGGAAACATGTGGGGAATTACCACTATACTTTTTCTACATTGCAGTTAGGAATTCTATGGAATGTCCTTGGGACTGCATTGTTCAACAGCCCTAAGTCAACATATCCAGGGATGAGAAAAGCTGAGAGCTACAGTCAAACAACTTTTGGAGAGCTACACAGTATACTTTTCTAGTCAGAAAAAGTATAGTATAGGTTTGCATTAAAAATATTGTTCTAATGAACAAAATTAAACAGATCAATGATTGTGTACCTAAGGAGTTCTTAAGCTATGTGCTTTTACTGTGTGGTCCTGGTATCTTCAAATTCAGCAAATGACCACTAATAGTATTGCATTTGATAATTTCCTCAATGGAAAGGTTTGCTACATCCAATTGTTAGTCCCATCCAGAGTGGCCTCAATCAAACAAGATCTATGTCCAGTCATCACTGGATTTCCAACCCAAGAGAGCCGAGAAGATGTACCAATCCCCCAAACCAGAAAGATAGTATTATTGCAAGTGCTATAATGCTTCTTCTACAGAACAATACACTCTTGAAGAGGGAGGAAAATTGACATTTGCTTAATGGTAGGTACATTACAAAAATGGCAGTGAGCAGATGAAACAGTTTAATCCTCACACTGTGTTACTTCTGCATTTAATTGGAGGAAACTTTTCCTTTTCTAGATTAGACTTTCTGCCTGAAGTACACATTTTTCAGAAATGTTAGGAATATTGAAATAACCAAGCCTTGCCATGTGTGTTCTGTAGCCTTAGAGCTATATGAGAAGGCTGGACCACGTGAGCACTCGCATGTCTCAAACATTTCTCAATGCCATGTACTGGGTGGAGATGATGCCACCTAGAAACATTCTAGTCTCCCAAGAAATCAGATACAAAAACAGTCCTCTCCCTGTCCCCGCATTTAGCAACGTAACATATCTGTATTTATAGTTAAAGTGATATGAAGATACAGCTGGCAACCCTGACAGAAACTCTCACTAAACTACATTAATCCTCTTAGTGGGCTCATCAACTTGATAGAAGTTTGAAGACTTAGAAGCAGCTGCTAACTCTTTTTTTTTAAAATTATTCTTTATTGAAGTTTTTTAAAAGAGGATAAGTACAAATAAATATACATATACGAATACGAATACGCACAGACAAATAGAAACTTCGACATCCAAACCCTCGGGGGGGGGGGTAGGGTTGGGAGGCAAAAAGGAGGGAGGGGGGTGTGACTGGGGGAGGAGAAGGGAGGGGGGGGGAAAGGGGGAGGGAGGGACATAGGGTAGAGACAAACACAACAAATTAAAAAGGAAGTTGTAGCCCCGAGCCATCCCCGTTTGGATGCGGGAGGAGGGCGGTGACTTCCATTTAGTATCCGTCCAGAGTGTTCTACGCTAATCTCAGGGGATTTACTAGCAATCTCCTGGTTTATCTTGCACCTTACTGATTCTGCGTGCTGATTGACGGTGTCTCTTTTGTTTAGCTCAACGTCTTTTAGAATTCGTACTTCATTTTTTCATACTCATCAAAGCTGGACCAGTCCGTTTGTTTGATTGGTCTTCCAGAGCTGGATTTCAGCAGGAAGGTCAGTTTGTCCATATCTCTTAATTCTGCAATTTTTGCTAGCCATTCTTCCACTTCAGGTACTCGATCTTCTTTCCAGTGCCTTGCCAGCACGATTCTAGCTGCGGTCGACATGTACATCCAAAGAATATCTTCGTTAGGGCTGAGTATGAACTCTTCGTCTGTCAGTCCCAATAGAAAATACTCCGGCTTCCTTGGGAACTTTATCTTGAGAATTTTTTGTGCTTCTTCCTGTAGCTCTTGCCAAAACTTTTTCACCTCTGGGCAGGACCACCACATATGAAAATAGGTGCCTGGCTGCTCTTTACATTTCCAGCAAGAGTTCTTTAGGTTCTTATACATCTGATGTAGCTTGTATGGTGTTAGATACCATCTGTGAAATGTCTTTAGCCAATTCTCTTTTAACGCTGAGGAATAGGTGTATTTTAGCTTTTTGTTCCAGATCCGTTTCCATTCTTGTAGCCTTATTGGACGCCCTATGTTTTTGGCCCAGAGGATCATGCAGTTTTTGATTTCCTCTGTTTCTGTCTCCCATCATAATAACTGGTCGTAGAGGTAGGTAATGATTTTTTTGTCCTTTTTCATAACTGCATCCCAGGATGACTCTTTTTCTTCAAACCCGATCTTTTCATCTCTCTTAAGGGTTTCCCGGAGCTGGAAATACTGCAACCACGTAAGGTTTTTGAACTTCCGGGTCAATTCTTCCTGAGATTTCAGCTTCCACGAGTTGTTATCTTTGTCTTTAACCAGCAAGTCTCTGTATGTTGGCCAACGCTGCCAGCCCAACAAACGTCTTTGTTTCGCCTCGATTGGGGAGAGCCACAGCGGGGTTTTGGCATAAAAATGCTTCCTGTACTTATTCCAGATTTTAAGGAGGCTAGATCTAACAAAATGATTCCCGAAATTTCCCTCCAGTTTGGATCTACCGTACCATAGGTACGAATGCCAACCCACTCTTAGATTGATCCCCTCTAATGTTAGAAGTTTTTCATTTTTAAGAGTGGCCCAATCCTTCACCCAAACTAGGGCGTAGGTCTCAAAGTACGTTTTTAGACTGGGGAGCCCAAAGCCCCCTCTCTCTTTTCTGTCCACCATTATTCGATGTTTCATTCTGGGTTTCTTCCCATTCCAGATGAATTTTGTTAGGTCTTTATTCCACCTATCAAAAACTTTGTTATTTCTTATAATGGGCAAGTTTTGGAAGAGATAGAGGAGTCTTGGCAAAATACTCATTTTGATTAGCCCAATTTTCCCAAGAAGGGAGAGGCTCAGGAATTTCCAATTTGCTAAGTCTGCTTGGACCTTCTTCCAGGTCAGTTCGTAATTGTTTTTAAACAGTTGACCGTTGCTGGCCGTAAGCCAGATCCCTAAGTATTTTATTTTTTTACTAATTGTCAGGCCGGTTAAATTTTTCAGCGCGGTCTGCTTGCCCTGGTCCATATTCTTTGTTAATATAGTTGTCTTGCTTTTGTTAATTCTAAACCCTGATACATTTCCGAAGACGTCAATAGTGGTTAACCATTTCTGTATGTTATTGATAGGATCTTCAATAATGCAGATGACGTCATCGGCAAACGCTCTAGTCTTATATTCCTGTGTAGCGATCCTCATTCCTTTGATGTTTATATCCTCTTTGATTGTTTTTAGAAGTGTTTCCAGGGCCATGATGAAGAGCAGGGGGGAGAGGGGGCAACCCTGCCTGGTTCCTTTCGAAATATGGAATTTGCCCGAGGATTGTGAGTTTATCAATAATCTTGCCGATTGGTCCGCGTAGATGGAAGATATTGCGTTTTTGAATGAATAGCCTATATTGATCTCTTCTAAAAGGAGTTTCATGAATTTCCAGCTGAGGTTGTCGAAGGCTTTCTCCGCATCCAGGGATAGCAAAGCTAGTTCTTTTTGAATGTTGATGTCGTAATACTCAATGGTGTCGATAATAACCCTCAAGTTGTCTTTAGTGCTCCTGCCTGGGAGAAAGCCCGCTTGTTCCTCGCCTATCTAGTCTATCAAAAACCCTTTTAACCTTTTCGCTAAAATGGCGGCAAAGATTTTGTAATCCGAGTTCAGAAGAGATATCGGTCTGTAATTCTGCTTCTCCTTCCCATCCGTGTTACCTTTCTTAATAAGCACTATCTCTGCCTCCTTCCAAGAGTCCGGAATCCGGCCGGATGTTAGTGCTAGATTCAGGATTTTGTGGAGAAAAGGCAAGAGCTCCTCCTTCATTGTTTTATAGAAGCAGGCGGAGAAGCCATCGGGGCCCGGGGCCTTGTTAGCGGGCATGTTGGAGATCGCCTCAGCTATTTCCTGTTCCGATATTTCTTTGTTAAGGGCCTCTCTCTGATCCTCTGAGATTTTCTCTAATTTAAGTTTAGCTAAGAAACGTGTTATTTCAGTTTCTGTTGTTTCATCACTGTTATATAAGGTGGAGTAGTACTCTTGGAAGTCCTCGATGATGTCTTTGTCTTTCATTAGGTAACTGTCACCTTTTCTAATCTGAATTATTCGCTGCGCCTGTTTCTTTTTCCTTATTTTCCTCACCATCCACTTACCAGGCTTGTTGGCATTTTCAAATTCTTGTTGTTTTATATATTTATATTTTTTCTCCAGAGCTTCGATTTCCAGGTGGCGCTTCTTCCTTTTGAGCCATTTCAGGTTGTCCTCGATCTTTCGCATTTCTGGGTTGCCCTTTAACTCTGCTTCTTTTTCAGTAATCTGTTTTTCCAATCTCTTCATCGCTGCATTTTTCGCTTTGTTCTTAATTGCGTTTTGCTGGATGAAATAGCCCCTCATGACCGCCTTGAGGGTGTCCCAGACTATTTGGGGTGATACTTCAGCTGAGTCATTTAACTCTAAAAAATCCCTAATATGTTCTTTATTCTTCTTGATGTCAGGTTCCGTTTTGAGCAGGTTGTCGTTTAATCTCCATCTTCTGAGGTTGGCTTTCTTGTAGAGGGCTAAAGTTAAGGCACAGTGGTCAGATATATCTCTGGCCTGTATCTGGAAGCAGCTGCTAACTCTTATAGCTATTTTGCATAGGTCAATTATGTGGCAAAAATCACAGTTCAATGACAATGGAAGGCACAGCCATCATGGTGTTTTCTTGACAAGATTTATTCAGAAGGAATTTGTCTTTGCTTTCTTCCGAGGCTGAGAAAGCATGACTTGCCCAGTAGGTTTCCATGGCTGAGCAGGGATTTAAAGTCATAGCCCAACACTCCAACATGCTGGTTCCTTATATGGAATAAGCATATAGAATCATAGAATTGGAAGCCTTGAGGGCCATCCAGTCCAAACCCCCCCCCCCCCCGCCCGCCAAGAAGCAGGAAAATTGTATTCAAAGCAGATGGCCATCCAGCCTCTGTTTAAAAGCCTCCAAAGAAGGAGCTTCCACCACACTCCGAGGCAAAGAGTTCCACTCCTGAACAGCTCTTACAGTGAGGAAATTCTTCCTAATGTTCAGGTGGAATCTCCTTTCCTGTAGTTTCCTGGATGAATCAAGAAGGTATTCAGCATTTTAAAATCCGATTCAGGAAAGAATAACCCAACAAGAGAGGGACTTTGGTACAAAATTTTTGAAATTAAAGGTATCTGGTTGATTTCAAATGACAATAAATTATAAATAAATAAATAATAGAACCAGCAAACCGTTTTTAATTGAATGCTTATAATTGTTTTAATTGTGTTAACTGTAACTGTGTGTTTGACTACCTGCTGTAAACCATCCTGAGTCCCTCTTCAGAGGTGAGAAGGACGTGATAGAAATGCCCGAAATATTATAATAATAATAATAATAATAATAATAATAATAATAATAATAATAATTTCTAGAGGATTTGAAAGATATCTGGAAAACAACTGGCTATGGGGGAAAACGGAAATGGAAACTCAGGGTGTTCTACCTCTTGGAATTGTTTGGGAGTACATAACAATCTCGGCCCTCTCCGTGATTTAGATACCGAGTAGTGTCTTAAGCTACAAGAGTCACATTAGAACATCACTGCTACAAAAATAGCATCAGTTCTGGATAATGTCCTACTGTGGAACAGAAAATGCCAAAATTGTTTTAACTATGAACAACTGGTGGCATTGGAAGTGCTTACTTTGATGACTGATTTGCATTCTTACCAAGTGTCATTTGAGAGGTTGCAAAACAAACATCAATAAGAAATTTCACCAACTTACCATGGTCGCTTTCTGTTCCTGATCGGCCCCAGTAACGGCGTCTCCGTTCCGGACTGTGTGCATGCCGTTCAATAACTGCTGCTATAAACCGAGTGTTACTGACTAGAAGAAAAAAGAGAGGGATTATACATTCAGCAGATGGATTCGCTTAAGAGAGATGATGTTATGAAATGCATGCTATAAAAGTAATACGAAGTTGCTGTGAAGTTCCAGTAATGACCAAATTTCTAAATCTCACAAAATTTTGTGAATCACACCTACATGTGTCCTAAAAAACTAGGCTTGCCACAAAAAAAACCCCAGAGATATCAGAGGCAACTAAAACCTGTTGAGGCAAACACAGGAACCTGTGGAATTATAACTGTCATTTAAGTCTGCTTCGTTTATATCTGGGTTTCACACCCTTTAATTGGACTAGTCATTCAGAGCTAGGAGGGTGACTTTGTGTCGGACAACATATTTGTTGTCTGTGAGGGCAGAGAACTCAGCAAGTTAGAATCAAAGGCAGTTCATGAATCATTATTTAACAACTGTTTGAACTTGGGTTACAATTATACTCTCCAGATCATGTTTGGTCTTTGGAAGAATTCACGGAGGCAGGAAGTGGTGGCGCAATACAATGAACGGAAAGTTGGCCATGGCTTCAAATCACTGCTCGGCCACAAACATTGTGGGTGGCCACAGGCAAGTCAGAATTTTCCTGCTGCTGTTTCCGGACTGTACGCAGGCAAACATGCAGCTGTCCTCATTGGGGTTGAGGTCCAGATGAATGACACCAAATCTATAGAGCAATTTGCCCTCTTCCAATGGTTACAGAAATGACAAAATGCTATGTATACTTGATAGGAAAGGCAGTGGGGAGAAATAGCGCATGGAGCTTTCCCCCATATTCTTCCCCACCTCCAACTGCAAGGTGACTGCTAGATACTTACTGATTCCTCTGTCTTCATGACTGTCATCATCCCTCTCATCCCTATCATTCTCCAGGTTGGACATGCGGACTGACATTTCTACACACCATTACAAACAGAAAAATGCAACTGTTAAAGAGAAAAATGTTGCATTAGCCTGTAAGAGTGCAATGCTTTGACAATGGATGTGGGCGTATCCTTTGTGAGATACAAAATATCTGAGACCCAGAAATCTTATAGCAAGTGGCTTGCACCATTGCAAATAAGGGTGTGAGCTTGCTAGTTTGTGGTCCTCCTTCATTGAGTCAACACTATAAACCCAATGTTTAGCCATAAAACAGAAGTGACTCATTTTTGTCCTAACGCCTTGTACATATCTACCAAATTAGAACTTGTAAAAGTCCACTTTTTCAGCTTGCTTAGAAACAATAAGTATTCAGAGGATCACTTGTGTTTGCATTGAGAACTACCTAGTCTGGCTTTGGAAGAGGCCTTTGGGAAAGTTTGGAGACTTCTGGCATGCCCTAATTTTTTTTCCTGAGGACATGGCTGTTCTACGTATGCCTTGTCTTAACTCCTATGCTTGCTTGCCTAGCGTTACAACAGTAGCACTCAACAGATGTTACAATGTGGTACAAATAATGCAACAGTAGAGTAAAGTAATCAATAACTGCCCTGAGTCCCTCTGGTGAGAGAGGGTGGGCTATAAATAAAGATGATGATGATTGTTGTTGTTGTTGTTATTATTATTATTATTATTATTACATGGTCTCTTTCTGTAAAGGCACAAAACACACTCTTGCTCAAAGGCAATCAATATATATAAAGTGTCCTAAACAGAAATGGAATATTCTCGAATTTAAGAGGATCCTAGATGTTTTCAATTTTTTAAACACAAGATCCCAGGTGTCTTAAAAAATAAGTTATTTAATAAAAACAGCAAAGGTTTAAATTCTGGATCCAGCAGAGGGCAGTGCTATCCACTCTAAGTAATAGCAGATAAGAGAGTGATATGAATATTGGCAAATATTCTACAGGATATGATTAAAAATACAGAACACCTGGTCAGAAAGGGGGTTAGGGCTGACCAAATGTGGAGATGGAGAGACAGCTTTAATGACTGCCCATACAATCATTCTCATCAAATCATTTTGTGTTAAAAGCTCACCTTGTGCTGCCAGTGGGGACATGTGCTGATGACTTCTGCGGTGGATCTGATGACGGTAGGCATACACAGCCAGCACTAGCACCATGATGCATCCCATAATACCTCCTGCTACAGGACCAACTGGAGCACTTTTTATCATGTTCAAAGCTATCACCTCGTCTCCTTAATTTCAGGGTGAGAAAAATAAGAAAGCTGATATAAATCCACCACACAATGCTCAGAGCACCTTTTATATCCTCAAAACTAAACAAAAAGCTACAAATATCTCCAACACCGTCTTCTATGTACAAAGGAAGTCTGATGTGAATGAACACAAAATTCCTATTCAAGATGGCACATCAACAATGGCATTTCATCTTATAACAATTGATATGTTAAATGCTATATATCATGCAATCTCAGCCCAATGTATTTTGTGAGCACTATGCCCTGGGAAATTCCAAGAGGTGTTGCCAAACAATATTTTGTGACAGAAGGTTCTGGTCACAATCCTGAGCCCCTTCCACCAGCTGAATAAAATCCCACACTATCTGCTTTGAATTAGAATATATGGCAGCGTGGACTCCGATATCCCAGTTCAAAGTAGATATTGTGGGATTTTCTGCCTTCATATTCTGGGTTATATAGCTGTGTGGAAGGGCTCTTAGACTACATCTTGAAAAAAATTGCAACCTCAGGTGTTTGGTAGGGTTGCCTCTGCAATGGCCAGGCACCACTTCATGCCAAATCTGAGTCCATCAAATGCGCACGCACAACAGCAAAGTCTACATTCTTACCGATGGCTCCCATGTCATCCACATAAGGGCTCTTGGCACCTACAATGCCACCAAAACATTCTTTCTGAGGGGCACAGTAAGGTTTATCTAGATGGGTCTTTCCATCGCTGTCCACCACACACCACTCACAGTCTAACACACCAAAACAATCCCTGCAAAATAAAGAGATGACATTAAAAATTAATACTGTTAGGATATTGCTTCAAGTATCCTAAAAACCACCAGTGATATAAACCTTCTATTTGCCCAAGTGAAGTGTGTATCTTCCTTATAACAGGACAACATGTTATTGTAAAATATGAAAGGATTTCTAGTTTTGGTGGAGGGGGCTTTTGGTCTGCACAGCAATATGATAATGATCCATCATATTCTCCCAAGCAACATAATAAGCTGAAGGTAAAGGTAAAGGTTTCCCCTGACATTACATCTAGTCGTGTCCGACTCTGGGAGGTGGCTCTCATCTCCATTTCTAAGCTGAAGAGCCGGCATTGTCCGTAGATGCCTCCAAGGTCATGTGGTCAGCATGACTGCATGGAGTGCCATTACCTTCACGCTGAAGCGGTACCTATTGATCTACTCACACTTGCATTTTTTTGAACTGGTAGGTTGGCAGAAGGTGGGGCTAACAGCAGAAGCTCATCCCGGTCCCCAGATTCAAACTGCTAACCTTTCGGTCAGCAAGTTCAGCAGCTCAGTGGTTTAATCTGCTGTGCCACCGGGGCCCCTTAATATGTAGAAGCTAAGCAAAATATAGAAATTAGTTCTACCATATTTACCAGTATTGTTAAACACATCAAAGTAGTTCTGTTTTTTTCCCCTTCAAAACACCAATATTAAATCTAAGCATCTCCCTGAGCTTCAGATAGAAATTTCAGACCCCCACCCCCTCCAAAAAAAATATCGTAACAAGAGAATATGGAGAATCACCTTCCAGGAAGTGACTACTTTTGAAAGTAAAGTAGGAATCCTCCCTTTAAAAACTAGAAGTACATTTCTGATTTTGGTGGGACAGGTTGATAAATCTTTGGTCTGCCTAGGATGTGGAAATTTGGCTTCCACACCTGTTTATGATGCAGCTTTTCTTTTTCTTTTTAACTTTGTTTCAGTTGTGATTTATTTTTGTGGTTCATGTAAGGTAAAGGTAAAGGTTTTCCCCTGACATTAAGTCCAGTTGTGTCTGACTCTGGGGGTTGCTGCTACCTCCAAGGTCATGTGGCCAGCATGACTGAATGGAGCGCTGTTACCTTCTTGCCAGAGCAGTAACTATTAATCTACTTATATTTGCATGTTTTCAAATTGCTAGGTTGGCAGAAGCTGGAGCTAACAGCGGGAGCTCACGCCGCTCCCCAGATTTGAACCTGTCACCTTTCAGTCAGCAAGTTCAGCAGCTCAGCAGTTTAACCCACTGTGCCACCGGGGTTCATGTAGTAAAGGGAAATTGTGCTTTCCTGTTGAACAACTTTTTAAAGGAAAAATAATGCAACTTACCCACTCTCCATCCTTTGATTACACCGTGTATTAATACATTGAGGAAGCGCATCTTGTAAATTGGTATCAACAGCTGTAAAAGTCATAGGTTCCTGATGGACTTCACAACTGGGATTTCTGTGCATTAATAGGAGCACAGTGAAAATTAAGTGAACAAAAACTTAAAAAAAGAAGACTAAAAAAAAGAAAAGAAAATTACCAAAATACAATAACGCGATCAATTACCTAGAAGCACATTGCACATTGGACCAGCATGAAGAAATAAATCCAAGGAGAACTCTTGGGAATTTTTGTTATAGGACCATTTCTACAATGCTAACAACATTGCTTACCTGCTTTCTGCATTTGTAAGATTTCCAGTACATTCGTTGACCTCCAGAGGGCACTCACACGGACATTCACATTCATTCTGTTCCATTCTTCAGGAAGGAAGGAAAGAACAAAAGTTGGCACTACTTATCAAGTATCACACAATCTCTTCCCAATAGCTCTCACATGTTGGGTTATGAAACGGTTTGAAGATAGGAGGACAAGAGGTCTCTCTCCTCACTGCAAAGCTGAGAAAGTACAATTTAACTGAAAAATTCACCAGGCATAGATGCTACAAGATATCTATGTTTTCCTGGGCAATTAAATTGCACTGAATTTATTGTCAATGTAACTGCTGTAAGAAGCTAAGACCTAAACCCATTTATACTGGATTGTTTCAACGCAGACTAAAATTCATATAGTGATCAACAAGGTGCCAGTGGAAAGTCCATGATAAAGACGTGAGTACAACTGCCTTTTTCCACTGTTGACTCTGGTCCTATATTACCACTTTGCCATTAGAACAAGGAGCTATGAATAGTCCTTCCCTCAATAATTGCCTCTAGTTCCCTTATAAAGCTGTGTCTATCATAGTGTCTTATGGTAATATATTCAGTCGCTTAAGGATGTAGTGTGTGAAGAACTTTCGTATGTCTGTCTTAAACCTCCAACTCTTCGCCTTCTGTGGATGCCCCTGGTGGCGCAATGGGTTAGCCCCTTGTGTCAGCAGGACTGCTGACCAAAAGGTTGGTGGTTCTAATCCAGGGAGAGGGTTAGCTCCCATCTGTCAGCTTCGGCTTCTCATGTGGGGACATGAGAGAAGCCTCTCATAGGATGGTAAAAAATGCAGGTGTCTCCTGGGCAATGTCCTTGCAGGCGGCCAATTCTCTCACACCAGAAGCAACTTGCAGTTTCTCAAGTCGCTCTTGACATGAAAAAGAAAAAAAAATCATGGATGAAACTGGGTGCTACTATTAAAATTAAAGGAGAAAAGCCCCTCTTTGTCAGGTCATTTTTTTTTTGTAGTCGTTAGCACGCCTCTTCCTTTTTCACCCTTTTCTTTAAACTAAAAAGACCCAAAAATCATAACCTTTCCTCACAGCAGAATTAACAAAGATTACTTTGGATATATTCTTCTGAACCATTTCCAGAGCTGTACTACATTTTTTGTGATGTAGGAAACGCTCATCTTAGTGTGGCCATAAGATGGAAATGACTTGAAGGCACACAATTACAAACCGGAACTATGGAGAGTCTAAAGAATTAAATCATCTGAATACTCAGAAAGTGGCAGGAAATTGCAAGAAACCCTATGCTAATGTAAGCACCAAACTCTGGTATCAGTCCAGAAGCAAATATCCTTTTGTCCTATCTTGCAAAAGGACTATGCACTGTATTGTCGAAGGCTTTCATGGCCGGAATCACTGGATTGTTGTAGGTTTTTTCGTGCTATATGGCCATGGTTCAGAGGCATTCTCTCCTGATGTTTCGCCTGCATCTATGGCAAGCATCCTCAGAGGTAGTGAGGTCTGTTGGAACTAGGAAAAAGGGTTTATATATCTGTGGAATGACCAGGGTGAGACAAAGGATTCTTTTCTGCTGGAGCTAGGTGTGAATGTTTCAACTGACCACCTTAATTAGCATATAATGGCCTGACAGTGCCTAGAGCAAACTTTGCACTACGCACTGACTGAAAGACTTGGCCTCAAGTTCTTCTGGGGTCTGACTACATATATATAATCCATGCAAATGTACATTACAGTACTAAAAGAAGCCTTTTCATACTCATTTTTGATTCCTTGTGTTTTATTCGGGTACTGGCTTTAATTTGGTTTTACAATCTGGAAGGTTTTATTTTCAGCTGTTAGTTTTATATTCTGTTTCTTCAGTCATTGTTCTATTGTTTATTTGTTGTATATTTTTAACAGATGGTATCCCTCTGGACAGTGGGCAGCTTAAAGCTGCATAAAACAAACAAGCAAATAAGCCAGGCAGCCTGAGGAAATGGCTGATGCCCCTCTCTCTACACTGGAAGGAAGATGAAAGAATGTACCAGGCATCTCAAGTGAAAATTGAAGCTGCCACGATCACCACGTACCAGAAAATGTTTTAATCTCTATCCGAATATTTACTAAGCATACAACATTTAGCTAAACGGCATTTGTTTTGGAATAAAAAGGGCTTAAAATATGCCTGTGGATTACCTAAGGACCAAACTTGGGTAATTTACGTCACCAAGTAAACAGGTTAGGTGGGTTTTCTGGGATTGATAGTTGTTTTTGTGTGCCTTCAAGTTCTTTCCAAATTATGATAAGATTAAGGTGAATCTAACATGGGAGTTTCTTGGCAAGGTTTGTTCCAAAGGGATTTGCCACTTCTTCTGAGACTAACAGTGTGTTACTTGGTTAAGGTCACTCCAATGGAGCCCCTGGTGGCACAATAGGTTAAAGCCCTCAATAATTGTCTCTAATTCCTCTTTAAAGCTGTGTCTGTCACAATGTCTTATGGCAATATATTCAGTCATTTAAGGATGTAGTGTATGAAGAACTTTCGTATGTCTGTCTTAAACCTCCAACTCTTCACCTTCAGTGGATGCCCCTGGTGGCGCAATGGGTTAAACCCTTGTGCCAGCAGGACTGCTGACCAAAAGGTTGGCGGTTCGAATCCGGGAACACAGTGAGCTGCCATCTGTCAGCTCGAGCTTCTTATGTGGGGACATGAGAAAAGCCACCCACAAGGATGCTAAAACTACTGGCCGTCCCCTGGGCAACGTCCTTGCAGACGGCTAATTCTCTCACACCAGAAGTGACTTGCAGTTTCTCAAGTCGCACCTGGCACACAAAAAAACCCCCAATGGGCTGCTATGGCTAAGCAAAGATTTGAATCTTGGTCACTCGAGTTGTCCAAAATTCAAACCACTATGCCATACAGTCTGATGTTATATACTTGCTTCCAAATCAGCTAGTACTAATTGTGAACATCATCCAATGTTGTGTTATTATAACAGGCGCTGATGCAGATGCTGTGACACTAGTGCCGAGTAAAATGCATTCATTTTAAGTAAGTACAATGTGACCATCAAAATTCATTTGAAATTCCTCCTACCTGTGACAGTTTAGACAGAGCCGATCTACCATACTACAGGCGCAGAAGGCAAGCGAGTCACAAGTTTCATTTACTATTCCAACAAAGGCATTGGTCCCAGGTATTCTTGTCAGCTTGTATTTAGAGCAGTGGCTGCCATGCACAAGATTTGTCAGATCACCCTAGGAGAAAGCAAAGCGTGTCAGACGTGTGGCAGGGAACATGTCTCCTGGTGAGGTGAAGCATTCCTGTCATCAGAGATAAATCTCCTAAAATATAATTTAAAACAAGCAAGCAAACAAGTCTTTACAGTGCAAAGTGAGATGACACTGTTCCATTACAGGAACTGTGTGGCTCTCATTAGCCAGGAGAAGAAAAGTGCCCCCAATGTATAGACTAATCAGACTCAAAAGCAAACAAACCACATGGAATGAAGTGATCAGGATGAAACTCCATAAAGTGAGTGTCAAATATGTAGTATAATAAGGATGACTAGGAATGGAAACACACCCAGTAGCTGTTTGCTTAGAAAAGCTCATCAATTATGCCACAATGGTTTTTTTTATTGCTAATGGCCAAAACTGCAAGGTGCCCATTGCCCATTCTCTGACTAGAAAATCTCAGATTCAAAGAATAATGCTACATTGTAATTCTATGGACTGGTTCTTTCTCCACTCTACAAGCTGTAAGGAAGCACAAGGTGCACTAACACCAGAGATTTGCTAGTTATTATGAATTCCGACCTTGCCAGTGCCTGATTTAAACACTACATTAAAATATCAAAAAAATTTATGGGCATGCAGTGTGAAGAGTGGTATATGCCATCTCAAAAACTAGAGCCATTTTTTGAATCAGAAGGCTCAAGCACGTTTGGTGGGAATGAGAGAGGGGCTCTTCTCTGTGATTGCCCCAGCCTCTGGAACTCCCTTCCAAAAGAGATCAAAACAGTCTCCCCTTTAGCCTCATTGAAAAAAACCACAACTAAAACAGGGCATAGAAATAACTAATCACCCTGGCTGCTGACAGTAATAAACTTGTAATTTTTATCCTCTGCCTGTATGTTTTTGTTGTTTTTCAAGGGTTATTATAGAATTGTAAATTTTATCTGCTATCATCTGTTTTAATGATTCTTACTTTTGGTATAAATGTGTATTTGTTTTGAGATTTGGGTGGGATGGGTATTTACTTATGTTTGTTGTACGGCTTTGAAGATCTGCTGATTTTGTTGTTTACCACTCTGAGTCCCTTCAGGGAGATAGGATGGTATATAAATGAAGTTTTATTGTTATTATTAACTGTACTCACAAATAGCCAACATATATTTTGAGACATCAAAATATATGTTGGCTAGTGTTAGGCATTACCTATCCAACAGTAGGAGCATGAGAACGGCAGGAGACCAAATGCCTACTGATTCCATTATCTTGTATCCCACAGGATCAACTGAATGCTTCATGGGAAGCAAACTGAGAACATGAATATAACTTTTGCCTGCTGCTCTTCCTCATCAACTGATCAGCAAAGCCTGCTGCTTACAATCTTGAAGGCTTCACACATCCATCAAGACTAATAGTGATAGCTTTTTCCTGCATGAATTTACCCAGTTTCCTTCTAATGCCTTCTAAATTGATGGGCATTACCACATGCTACAAGAGAAGATTCCACTGTCTGAATATGTGTGATGAAAAAGTCCTTTTTCTGTCCTGAATCTTCTGTGAATCAACTTCACTGGATAACTCTGGGCCCTAGAATTGGGGCAGAAGTTTTAAGAATACTGTCTCTTCCCATTTCATGTACAATTTTCTAAATCTCTTCCATCTCTTCACTTGCTCATTTTTCTTTCTGAATATAAGCAAATTCTAGGTGGCTTCATATTCCCTTGAAGGACAGTTGAACTGTCTTATAATAATTTTGGTGCTTCCTTCTGCACTTTTTCCAGGTTTTTTATAACCCTTTTTAAGATGCTTTGACCAAAGCTGTACAGAGCTTGCCATGTGTGGTTACATCATAGATATATGCTAACAAATGAGACATTTTATGTTTATACCACTTGCAGGTACCATCATGCGATACCCCATAACCACCCCATAACATGTTCACCGTATTTGGGCAGTAACATTTGGAAGGGAGTAGTGTGTAAATTGACACTACTATTTTTCTCCTCTCCTATAATCGTGTGCTGGTACCCTGGTAAGGCTTTCCACTGCACTAGCACTAAATAGAAATTTTGTTTAGCAAAAGTCCTATATCAGCCTTCTGAGCAGTCAATTGGTCTTCCCAAAACTTGTAATTCTATATACTAGAATGCTACCTTTGTATACAGTGGTAAGTACTTCAAAAAATATTCTTCAGCAACCCAGTCAGCCTAACAAAAAGTCAATCCTAAGCCAGAAAACTAAATTTAAAAACTCAAAAAGTCATACCGTCAGGCTGGTATTAAATTTGTAAAACCTCTGGACTGTTCTGTCACTGAAACTATTACAAAGGTTTTTCTTCACAAAGTTTGGGTGGTTCAAGATATCATTTGCCACCAGAGGTTCCTGCAGATAAAAGGTAAGAGGTTTTACATAGAATAGAAATAGAATTCCACAAAGCATTACAAACAAGTTTTTTAAATTAACAGCTGTGTGTATGTATAAAAATCACCATAACTTAGACAAACCTTGTGTGTAATATGTTGCTGTTCTACTGGAGCATGCCCTTTGGGATCAATAAGAGTTGGGTGTGCCACTAGGTATCCTCTGTCTTCCATAATAAAACATCTGGCAAAATGAAAAGAATAAAAATACAATCAAGGTCCCAATTCCTATACATCAAAACTTACAATGTAATATTGAATGTAATATTGTAGCAGAACCTGTGAAATTACAAAATTTGGAGATAGCCAGAAAATTATCTTGCACATAACTTGTTTGTTTGTTTGTTTGATTAGGCAGATAGTCCAGTCTTGCATGGGTGAAAAGATGGAAAAAGTATAGTGAAATATTTGTGGAAAATTATTGGTAAAATAGCAGAAGCACTAAGAAATTCAATAAGATTCCAAATATAGATTGGAATTTATATTTGTGTCCTGCATAGCCTTTTGCCCATCCCATAACCAGTTTGAGCAAACGTGTTCAAATGAACTTAACTGGTTTAATACAGTGGTTCCCAATCTGTGGTTTGTGGCCTACCAGCACCCCAAATAACCAAACCGAATCTAAAGTTGACCAAATACTGATTTGTAACCCTTTTGGTACTAATGTTGGAGAGTGGTCCCTGGTCAAAGTGGTTCCTGGTCAGAAAAAGGTTGGGAACCACTGCCTTAATATATGCAGTCATGAAGTCTTGTTTCTGATGTGGAATTTAGTTCAATTTGGTGCACCGTTATCACTGTCATGTGTAGTCTGCACACAATTCTCCTTTTAAAACAACTTTCATAAGATTGGGGGTCTTTTCTAAGGTTGAAGGTGACACACTCAAATAAAACTCACTGCTAGTTATTATAAAACACCTCTTCCCGTCCAGCATACTAGATTAATTATTATTAAATTGATATTGAAGTCTAAATGAAATGTGTTTAAAATACATTTATGATGACTCTATATAAGCCTAGTAGTAATTAGTCCAAAATGCAAGGAGTGGTCATCATTTGAAAATTGCTGAGATACACTTACAATGACAGAAATCCTTTACTGACAGGCACAGCTCTACTTCCTGTCCTTATCCCAAAATGTTCAACCTACTTTGTTGTCTGGAGATTTTCCTCATAGTCATATATTGTCTGGGAGATGATGGGAGGAAACAGTGTTTGGTTGTGCTCCTGCAGTCAGATGTACAAAGGAGCATCCTCCCAGATTAGTGTGGGATTATGTGGAGGTCCAGCAGAATGCTGTTTTCTTAGTGTATCCAACTACATGAGTGCACCTAGCCAATGTTTGCCTTCCTTTGCATTCAATCACATAAATGACCACAAAAGGAACACAGGTTATTGTGCAAAGGAGGTCATGGACGCTTTTATTTGCAACAACCCTAAAAAGAAACATATATGCACAATCCCTGCATATGCCAACAGTGGATTTCAGCCTATGGTTAAGACAGTGACCACTTTTATTAACTAGAGTGCATTTATTTGTCAACTATGATATTGACTATCCCAGCTAATATAATCACAATCGACTATAGAGCATTAAGCAGTTTGCTATTTAATTTCAGTAGCAAAATGTTCATATTGGTTAAAAATATATATTAGGAGCACTAGGGTCGATGGAGATTGCTTTTACGCTGTTCCTATATTATTGTTGCTGCTGTCAACGTTATTGCTAGTTCACTGATAGCCTGTTTCTTCCACAAACACTGGGACTCCAGGTGGCTACAAAAAATAAAAGATTAAGGAACCCGTATATAAATATTGACAAACCAGAACGTGTCCACAAAAGGATGACCAAAACGATCAAAGGTTTTGAAAGGTTTTGAGGAACAGCTTAGGTAGCTGGGTATGTTTAGCTTGGAGGGGAAAAAAAGACTGAGAGATGACATGATGGCCATGTTTAAATATTTGAAAGGAGGTCCCATTGAGGACAGGGCAAGCCTGTTTTTTTGCTGCTCTGGAGACTAGGACATGGAGCAATGGATTCAAATTGCAGGAAAAGAGATTCATTTCAACATTAGGAAGAACTTCCTGATGGGAAGAACAGTTTGGCAATTGAATGCACTGCCTTGGAGAGTGGAGGACTCTCCTCTCTGAACATTTTTAAGCAGAGGCTGAATGGCCATATGTCGAAAGTGCTTTGATAATATGTTCCTGCATGGCAAAGGGACGAACTGGATGATCCTTAGGGTCTCTTCCAACTCTAGAATTTGATGATTCTATGTAACAATATAAATAAGATGTCAAAATGTGGTGACATAATTTCAGAATTAAAACCACAAAAAGTAAATTTGTAAAAAGGAAGGACAAAATCTATGGAACAGCACAATACTGAAAGCCTTTAAGTTAGTTCCCCGAAGTTTATTGGAGTAGAAAAGATTTCACTTGTCAACATAGGGATAACAAGGAAGGAGCCAGCACAATCACCATAGGAAGAGAGCTCTAATTTCTGGGAGCAACTACTGAGAAGACCTTGTTTTTCTTATGTTCCTAACAGAGGTGCCTATGAATATAGTCAGACCAAGAGAAGGACTTGCCCTGAAGATCTCAAAGTTTGCATAAGATACAGTTATTCAGATAACTTGCACCCTACCCTATAAAGTTTTATGGATACACTGCAGACTATCTTCCTTCGGATGCTAATTAAAATGCTTTATAAGATATAATTTTCAAATTTGACACAAGTTTGTGAATAGGTTTAGTGAGAATAATATACTGAACTTGTAATGCAAGGTTCAAACAAGCAACTAAACTTTAAGTTTTAGAACTCCAAACTATAATTGAACCAAAGATACAAAAAACACACACTTACCTTATTTTATTGCCTCCATCTTGATTGCAAACTGGCAAGAGTTCCATTAGGACTTTGTAAAAATACCTCAAGGTAAAATCAATTCCCATCACAGCAACAGAATGGCCAGAAGACATTTGTGAGCTATGATAATAAAAAGTGTGCAGGTCTTGAGAGATAGGTAGTTGAGAAAATGTCCAAAACATTTAATATTTTACAGTACCCAAAGCAGTCTCAAGCAGTCTTAAATTATAACCAATTAACCTCAGTTTCTCATCGGCTCACAGAAGCAAGCCTTTATATCTTTACTCAACTTAGGAGACTCTCCTTCTGTCTCCAAGGATATTAAATGGCTGAGCGGCAGAGAGAGGCTAACTGATATATCCTGATAAATTACTGTATTTCTTCAATTTTAAGATGCACTATTCCCCCTATATAAACATCTCTAAAATTAGGGTGAGTCTTACAATTGCAGATGCATTTTATGTATTTTTGTAAGCAGTGGTGGTACTGAAATTAAGGCATGTCTTACAACTGAAGAAATACAGTAAATATCATCTTTCTCTTGAGTACGTGATTTATTTACAAGTGGTAAGCCCTTACACTTACATAATTGGCACTTGTGCAGAGGGATAAATGGCCAGAAACATCTCCAGAAGATAACAGAAAGTGTTGTATGGAGGGATGATGGGAGTTACAGTCTAATAACACTCCTGTCTTTGTTCATAGATGCGTTGAGAACCAGGTTTTCTGAGAAGTTCCTCATTTGTTCACTAGTAATAAGCTTCCTGCACACTGTCATTAACACAAAATAGGATTCCCAACTCATCTATAACAAAGACATCATCCCTCCACATTAGTTGTACAGGCTATGGCTGTTGTCCTATGAGCCCTACAATACTGGACTCTAACTCCCATGATCTGTCCCAACTGTTTGCACTGGCAAAGCCTGAGTTCTATAAACCATACAATGCTACAAATTCTCCATCCCTGAAAAAAATGGCCAAAATGTTAACTCAACTACCATATACTTGAGTATAAGCCGACTTGAATATAAGACGAGGCACCTAATTTTACCACAAAAAACTGGGAAAACGGATTGACTCGAGTATAAGGCGAGGGTGGGAAATGCAGCAGCTACTGGTAAATTTCAAAATAAAAAATAGATACTAATAAAATTACATTAATTGATGCATCAGTAGGATAAATGTTTTTGAATATTTACATAAAAGTGTAATGTAAGATAAGACTGTTCAACTCTGATTAAACCATTATTCTAACCTTCTTCAATGTAAATGTGCTTATGTATCCTTCCAATAATAATAAAGAGAATAAAATAATAAATATAATAAGAGTAATAATAGAGTAAAATAATAAGTGTAATAATAACAATAAAGTAAAATAATAAATGTAATAATAATAACAGAGTAAAATGATAATGTAACAATAATAATAAATAGATTAAAATAATAAATGTAATAATAATAATAATAATAATAATAATAATAATAGAGTATAAGCTGAGCGGGGCTTTTTCAGCCTTAAAAAGGGGCTGAAAAACTAGGCTTATACTCGAGTATATACAGTATATGTTGAAACACAATTTTTCAGAGGATTCTGATTCCCAAACAATATTAATGTGTACTCTCTAAAATGTATGCTATTTCAAGGCAGGGAACTGAGCATGTCAGTGGATTATGTATCCAAACTAAAAAAGACCCATAATTTTGCATCCATTTGGCAAAATGGGTGAAAAATAACAGTTTTAAAATCTGCATTGTAATTTATCCTATATTTCTTGACACAAGACCAAGATTTGGCATATCGTTCTGACTGGAGCTTGCTTTTTAACATTCTTGGAGCTCTTTTTTTGTAAGTATCTTGACACATGAAAAGTCAAACACCAATTGTTCATAGCATTCTCTTCTGCCTGAAAAATTGATCTTTGCTGAAGCATTCATTTCATGAAAACACTGCCGAATGTCAAAACTGCAAGGGCATACAGCAATCTTAAAATCAACACTGGTTTTTTATTAAAATAGAGCACTGCTAGATCAACTTTTAAAGTAACTTAAGGTTTTAAACAAAGGTTTCTTAAGACAGACTATAAACAAAACAAAGTAAAAAATAAAAAAAACCCGAGCTTATGTCAGAGCCTGCAGGTTCCCCAAAGCATTACACCAGTTAAGAAATACAGAAGCCTTCTGCGGATAGATGCTGTTTAAAGGATCAGATTCCTTTCAGCTTCTGGGGAACTGTGTGGCCTTCAGACCTTCTGCTTATTAAAATTCTTCACAGCTTTTCACTTATCCTCCCATCATGAGAAAGGGAATATGAATTCCCTGTAAAGATGCTAAAATTCCAAATAGCTGAAAGGTCATCTTTTTTTTCTTTTTTTTTGCAAGGTCAGAAAACCTGGATTTAAGTCAAAAATCATTTTGCATTCAAGTGTTTCAACTGAACTGGTTGATGGATAAAATTATATTTTTTTGAAAAGAAGGTCTTGTCAAATGTATGTTTCTACTCTCTCCCTCTGTAACAAAGTTTTATGATTCAATCCCAGGATGGAAGAGATAATTCACACTTTTTAAATGTTAAAAAGGTATATGAAATCAAGCCCTTTACAGCAAGAGATGTAATATTTGTGTTTCTTAAAATAATGATATAATGCAGTCCTATGCACCAAAGCTATCAGGATAAACCACAATAAATCCTTGAAATTGATTTGGAAACCATACTAATCTTGGTTTCCAAACCAAATTAATATGGACTGAAGTAGTTTGTAATTAGTGGACTTTTCTCAAGGGAACTCTAAATGTAGTATTTTGATATTTGGATTAACCATAAAGCTAGGAGCCTCCAGTGGTGTAATGGGTTAAACTCTTGCGCCAGCAGGACAGCTGACCAACAGGTCAATGGTTCGAATCCAAGGAGAGCTGGATGAGCCCCCTCTGTTAGCTCCAGCTCCTCCTGCGGGGACATGAGTGAAGCCTCCCACAAGGATGGTAGAAACACCAAACATCCAGGCATCCCCTGGGCAACATCCTTGCGGACAGCCAATTCTCTCACACCAGAAGCAACTTGCAGTTTCTCAGGTTGCTCCTGACACGAAAAGAAACACATAAATCTTTGCTTGGGATGTGCCATCTCTACATTCAGAGGGGTTGGGTTTTACAAACAACAAATTGAAAATACATTGTGATACTGTTTGTACTGTAGATTTTTGCCTATCTAAAGAAGTATCAGCATGTTGTTGAAATACGCCGGCAGACCATGTCATGCTCAGAAAGGTTATGGGCACACACAACATCCAAAACCTCTGGAGGATTTAAGGCTTTGGGCTATTTTATAGACTTCCTATGGTTGGCATAAAAACACTCTCCAGATCCCATCTCACCAAAACAGGGATGGAGATCATGTAAACTCCTAGATGCTGAAGTATAATTCCCATCTTCCTTCTCCATATGCTATGCTTGGGGGGAAGATACAATCCAAGAATAGGATTGTCTAGTATTAAATCTACATTTATATCTGGCCTAATAACTAAGATTGTCAAGGTAGTGTTCATGTTCTGTCTATCCCCATTATGTTCTAATAAAACTATTAACGTTACACCTTAATGTAACAGGTAACATATGTATGTTTTGCATGTCATTCTCCTTAACTCTTTGGTCCTGCCTTAATAGTTACTTTTCTCCCCAGAAACGCACAACATTTCCTACCTAGGGCATTCACCGTGGTGGATTTCTAAAAAGCTTAATTTATTTATTATTTATTTATTACTGTGCTTGTATACCGCCGTTTCTCAGCCTAAATTGGCAACTCAACGCGGTTTACAACAGTACAACAAACAGCAATATTCAGTTTAAAACCATAAAAAACAACATACACAATACACAATACACAATATTGGCCCATCAATAATAATCCAATGCATCTCTTAACTAAAACCACAATAAATGTCTAACTTTCTTCTCTAAGTTAGGATAGGAGATTGTGAATAGCAATAAGCAAGACAGTGCCTCAAAATGCATTATTTCCACAGAAGAAATGTATCCTGTTTTTTTATGGGTGGCAAATGAGAAACAAATATGCATACAATCTGGGAGGGAACAGGCACCGACCGAGTGGAAATGCCCCAAATTAATTCAGTATGCCGTTAGCATTCTGCTCCTTAAATTTCATACTGTCAGTTACCTTCTCATTCTCCTGAGCCAACATGTCAATTATTCTCTCTCCCCCTTCCTCCATTTTTTTTACCCTTTCAACTATGTAGAGGCCTTAAAAATTAAACGAAGCTGGAAATTCTTACATGATCATGGAAAATCTCTAAGCCCTCTCACCAACCCAAGAAGAGACTTGGGTCAGGAAACCTTAGATGGGCAGTCGTGATAGTTTAAAGTAGAGACAGACAAGGCGGTGTGGATATTTGGTATGTGTTGTGTGAGAGAGCTAAAGCTTAAAAGATGCAGAAGTAGCAAGAGCTGCCGTGAATAAATGATAACATCTTGCCCATACGTGGAGGTCTGCCGATACCCCTGTTTTGCTCCACAGCTCAAGACTGCATATTGTTGCCTTAGCAACTGACACATCAAAGGGCCATAAAACACACTCTTTGAGAGCTTATACTGGCATATTTTTACAACAGTTAGGATGGGAGTGGGGAGAGAAGAGCTTCTCCATTTCCCCCCAGTCATCTAATGCCATCCCCCCCCCCCCCTGACTTAAAGTATTCGGCTGCAAATTTATCCCAGAGTTGTAATGAAGAGTTCTCTCTAATATGCTTGCAGCCATGTCAGAGATTCACAAGAAGCCTCATACAAGCCAAAGAGAATATTCTCTCTATGTTTCTAGCTCAAGTTCGGTCCAGGGAGACATGGCAATATCACTTCCTTGAGATTCCACCTCAGCTGAAAACATACCCTCCCTCCTACATTAGTTGCCCACCTGTCTAAAGGAGCCAATGGTCCTGATATAAGGATGCAAATAGAATTATAATCCCAACAAGGTCAGTGTGGGATACACAGATGAGCCCCTGCAATTTGGAGCCCTCCAGAGGATCAAATTCCCATCACTCCCACCCAAAATAGCTAAGGATAAGGGATCATGGGCACTGTTGTCCACACAGTACTATTTAATTTTTTTCATTTTTGGATTTGCTTTGTTTTAAACGATGATGAGATTGTGTAGTAATGAGCTGCCTTGAGTCCCCATTTAATAAATATAAATAAACAGTCCAAAGCATTGAAAGGTACCAGTCCGCTGAATCTAAGTTAAGGTGAACATTAAAGTTCACCCTTCAAAAGACTTTTGAAAGGCGAATGCAAACACAATAGCAAAACTAAAGTCAAATAATCCCTGGGCAATATTATGATAAAAATACAGACTGAATCAGAAGACAACTATGTTTATCTTCCACAATGTATTGCAGGTTTAGCATCCCTTATTCAGAATGCCAAAATGCAAAATACTCCAAAATTTGAAAGTGTCCAAAAGGATGAAGTGGATGAGATAGTGGTATTTGTAGCGATGTTGTTTTCTGATGGTTCAATGTACACAAACTTTATTCCAAGCACAAATTATTAAAATACTGCGCATAAAAATACCTTAAGGCTATAAGTATAAGTGTATATGAATGCTGGGTTTAGCCTTGGGATCAATCTCCATAATATCTCATTGTGGACATACATGCAAATACAAATATTCCAAAAATCCCCAAAATTCCAAGCATTTTGAATAAGGTATACTCAATCTGTGTACAAATGTCTAGATCTGGGATGGGCAACTATGCTATACCATTTTGAATTCCATGACCGGCCCGTAAAGGGCAGCACTGCATGTTTCTGAGTCTCACCAAGCTCCCGAGTCTTGTCTCTTTGACATGCCCCATTTGAAAAGGACAGGTCTGAGTATCAGAATGGCTGAGTCATCCCCCTGAATTCTTGTTGGACTTGACTGGAAATTTTAAAAAGCTATTACAACTCCACAGGTCTGTTCTAGCTTTGAAAAAGTCCCTTCCAAGATCAGGCAGGATCTGGTGCATGATGTATGAGTATTAGGTAGCCCTTTCTAAAATACAAAACTGAAATATGGATACATGCAAAATGATGAAGACTAGATGATGATAAATTTGGTACCTGCCTCTTCCTGTGGCTCGAGGCATGGTACAACATCATAAAAACAAAAGATAGAACACTATTAAAACACATACTTAAGCACCCCTTCCTGTCCTTCACATTGCTCACCATGATAAAGAGTCATTTATTTTCTTTTATGTAGACTTCTTGTGTAAAACAAGTACAGCAGAGTTTTGCTTATCCAACCTTCACTCATCCAACGTTCTGTATTAGCCAACGCAGTCTGTCTCCTGCCTGGAATAATGTCCAGCGTGGGAGAAAGAAAGCACCCTTGTCTGTTTTGGTGCTAAATTCGTAACTACAGTAATTACTACAAAACGTTACTGTGTATTGAACTGCTTTTTCTATCCCTTTGTTGTAAAACATGATGTTTTGGTGCTTAATTTGTAAAATCATAATATAATTTGATGTATAATAGGCTTTTCCTTAATCCCTCCTTATTATCCAACATTTTTGCTTATCCAACATACTGCTGGCCTGTTTATGTTGGATAAACGAGACTCTACTGAAAGTGGCTTAAAACCTGAATTTAGCTAAGGTTTTCAGATACTGAAAACATATGCCAAAAACTCTTCCACTTCCCTCTTTTCCTCCCAATGTATAGCAAATGAAGTACAATTTGAGAGATTTCCTATTAAAATAGTGGCAAAATTCAGTTGTGGATCAAGGACCAAGACATTTGGAGCACTATCAAAACAAATTTACCTTGAAGAATGAACTGTGTGACTGATGGTAACCACATACCCAGCTCCTCCAACATCTAAATAGGGGCCAGTGAAAGTAATTAATCCTGGATTTGCCACTGCATGGAGGTACCTAAAAGAAAGCAAAAGGAAGCATCTTCTGTATTATTATTTATATTTATTTATTTATTTATTTATTTATTTTTATCCCACTTTTCTCCCATGGGTGGGACTTAAAGACTAAAACAGCAAAAATAAACATACATGAAGTCCAACAAAAATATCATAATCCAGGTAAACAGATTGCACACAATACATAAACAAATTAATAAATTACGAAAAACATTCCCTAAACATCGGCCACTGAGGTTATTCATAAAACAATTGTGCTAAGCTCCTAAAAACTCAATTTTTCTTAAGTATTAAGAGTTAATTTTATATTACGTTACTGTACATTGAGTAATTGCAAAATCTCTGGAATAAGGTAAAAAATTATCATCCATAACTGAGAGTGAAGTACCTTGTGTTCACTCTTGCATTTGGAGTCCCATGTTCATTTTTACATAGTTTTGAAGGGACAATTTCTGCATATCGTTATTAGATTTCCTATGCTACCATTCTGATTGTGTTTTCAAATAATGAGACAGAAATCTCAGAAATCAAAGTGTCAGACATGGCATATGAATATCTAGCGGTACAGGACTCGTTTCAAAGATCTGCCCCAGCGAACAGGTGCAGTCAAAGCAGAGCATTTTCTGTTTAAATAAACCTCTCCAGGATTATCTGCATCTTTGTTCTGTGTCATTTACTGCTGCGACAGGGACAGCTCATATTGACATTCCCTCACCCCCATTTTTGCAATGCACTGTATGAAACATGCATCTAATTAAAACAAGGTTTATGCCACAAGCTTCTTAAGATTTCTAGCAATTTTGAGGAAAATAGAAATTTCTGAGTTACAGAAGAAAGGTATAGCTAAGAAATGGTTATTTCAGTTTTCCTATTGGAGGAGGAGGAGAAGAGACAGGGGGGAAAGTGTGCCAATATGACTAACGGCATGAATATTTGTGCGAGTGGGGGGAGAGACCTGGATTTGGTTATATGCACTTATTTCTGGCTTGATTTGCAGCCCCCTTCCTCCACAAGGCTAACTAGTCTTCTTTCAAGACAACATATGGTACAGAACACATTCAGGAGCTCCCTCATGTTTATTATCTCATTTACAGAGTACACAAAAGATCTTGTTAAACCATGCTTGTGCATAATTAATAGACGTCTGCTAAACTAGCCTAATCTTATGTGGAATTACAGTATGGGAAATCTACATGACAGGGAAACTGGTGCATGGAATAGCAAAGCGCAAATATGCCAAAGGAAAGAAACGTTAAAAATAAGAGCCACATGAGATAAGTGCAGAAGGGTTTTCCAAGTAACATCGATTTTGGTAACTTTATAGATGCTTTCATTATTCACTCCTGCACAAAAGGACAAGGAAGAGAAGCTACGTCTTAATAAAAGCAAGGAGCTCATATACAATCACCACCACAAATTTAAAACATCGATGTATATTATTTTATTTGGAAATGTTTCATTTCTCTGTTTATCTCTAAGTAAAGCTTTTGTATAAATCTTATGCCAGATATTCCCCTTCTTCCTGCAATATCATCAACCTTGGAGGGTTTTCTTAAAACCTTTCATAATGGGATCCTAAAACTCACCATTGTCTCCTAGTGGGATCAAATGCTTTGTCCATGAGGGAACCAGGATAAATTCTGAGCACCCCATTGGGTGTTGCTATGTAACGGCGGACAATGTAACTGTTCAAGCTACTCATTTCCATTTGTGTCATCCATTCATCTGTGACGTGACTGGTAGCCATTACTTCATTTCTGACAGAGAACTGCAAAACAAAGACAGACCTAGCAGGGTTCCTCTAAGACTTGCCTGAAAAGATAATAAGCTGCTTGCAGGGTTTCCTAAAGACTCATCACAGATAATCTAAACCCAATTACTTCTTTAAAATCTTCTCACACCAGATGGACCCAGCAAATTTCAAGAAATGGGGAAAACACAGGATACTACAGAAATATTGTTGCCCTCATTCACATTTTGTGTAGGTCTTCATCATTTCAACTTTCTATGCCTTTCAAAATGAAGAGCATTCTCTGTTCCTGGTCTGTAACATTGATCTTATCTCCATATTGTTCACATTCAGTGATCTGATAGACCTCCCTAGTGGAAAGCTACTGTTTATTATACTTGGGAATCCTGTGAGGCAGAACAATCAGAAATCTTAACCCACGCTATCTTTGGAAGTCAATTTCTGAATCCAGCTATATCAAAACCAACAGAACAATTATCACAACAGCACAAAATGTTCTTGACATCTATTCTTCCATTACTATAGAAGACATACTTCTGTTCTTGATAAAAAAGGAACAATTGCAATCAAGCCACTTATTTGATGTAACAAAAAAGGAAAAGGACAAGCCAAGGCCTGACCAGAAATAATCTAAATTTCACCTAAACTTTTGCAAAGTTTTATCATACATGACGGATTCACCAAACTTTCAGATATCTCTATGTTAAGACCATCAAAACAGCAAGGAAAACAAAAGGTCAAAATAAAGCAAATTAAAATAGCGTACTTTTAGCCCTGGGTTGGCAATGAGACGTGTGTTATCACTAAGATATGCTGTATAGTGCTCCACCATCCTCTTGGTCTCAGGTTGGCTCAGATGTTCATATGGAGAAGAGAAACTACCTGCAGACAGCATTACTGTAGGGCTCTCTGGAAAGACAAGAAAGGAAAATATCACCAAAAGTCAACCACAGGAAAACAGGATCATTTAGTACCACACTAGGACAACAAGATATGACAACTGCGACAATATGTGTTCAAAGACATGTTTCCCAAAATATCAATATTGTTGAATGTGCAGCCACCAGGGGGTACTATTGTAACAATGGTACTGTATATTACTTTTGAACAATCTGTGAATATGCAGGATGTTATGGAAAGTACCATAGGAAGTTATTGACAGGAAGGAACCGATAGAGAATCGATAGAGAGGATCTATATTATTCGCCAGTCTTAGGATGATGCCCATCAAAAGGTGAAAAAGGTTTTAGCAACCAGAGCCTGTTATCAGGTTCCTTCATGCAACACATCCAGTCTGGTAGCACCATCTATTGTCTTGACCCGGCCACCTCATTCTGCTTGAGAGTAGGGCCAGTCCTAAATCCAATTCCAAGCATCTTCAGTTGTCAGCAACTCATTAAGGTTTCCAGAGATACCTGTCATGGCAAAATAGATGAGAGAACTCAACTACATGGGCACGAGTCATCTCGAAGAAGGCGGGTGTCTCAATGTTGTAAACATGATGTTTGCTTGAGTGCATAACAAAAGCAAGTTTCACAAGCTGATGTTAATGGAATTCAGCACAGGTGAACAGAGAACTGTATTAGCATTGGCTAATATTATTTTATAAAGCATTGCTTCTTAAACTGTGGGTCCTGACCTCAAATGGAGTCCCCGAGCTCCATGACGAGGGCCCGAAAAATCTGTCCATAGTAAAAGTTTTCTGAATGCCACCTAGTGGTTGTTTTCGACATTTACAAAAACCTGTTGTGCATTGTTACAGTAGATTCTGCTGAAGATGCTTCAGCTGTACTTCATAACAAGAGTGGAAATCAGCCTGTTTAGCAAATCTTGCAAATCCTGATTTGTTATCAGTAAATGTTTGTGTTTTAGACCTACTTTATATATCTATATATCCTAGGTCACGTAAAAAAATCTGTTAGAAACAGGTTGTAAGTGGAAAACTTTAAGAAGCCTTGGTATAAAAATACCTACTGGTACTTAACAGTGTTAATTTTCTAGTGTATGCACAAATCAATATGACTTATGGGAGGAAGAATAAACTAAAGACATTTCTTCCTTAATTGCTGAGAAAAAAGTCATCTTTAATATTCTGAGGTTCTTTGATACATAACAATAATGATGATTTTAAAAAGATTTTTAGAGATAGGCTGCTTTAGAAAAATGAAACATGTAATATTAATGTATAGCCTGATATCTTGTGTCATAATGACTTGACACCATTTCAAAAATGGGGCAGAAGAAAACATTTTTTCAGTGAGGAACCATACAGTAGTGTTTCAAGGGTAGCGTATTCATTTTAAGGGGCAATATGCAAGACAATGAGAAGTCACTTATAGAAGGAACTGAATAAAAATGTAAAAAAAAAAAGCCAAAGCCTTTTGCTAAAAATTAATTTGTTTATTCCCTCTATAAATGTGAATTTTCACATTCACTATAACCTGAGGCAAGTTCATAAAATGATGGTGCTGATTTTCATACATAAAATTATTCATTTTTTTTTAAATTGGGAAGTTTTATACAGTTTTTAGAACCTCTGAACTTGCCAATTAAAAATATTTCAAAGTATATCCCCACCAGAGTTGTAACTTCTGCTTACTTTCACAGGGATTGATGGTATTAAATATTTATAGCTGGGAATAAAATCTGCATAATTCCAAAGTCAACAGGATATGGCATGACTGGCAAGAACTTCAATGTTTTCATGTTATTGCTAATGATTTATTTGACAGCAAGAAAATCAAGGATTAGCTTTGAAAGTCATATAACAACACGATTCATACCCAACGTGTCCTATTTTCTGAAAATAAAATTATGCAACTACTTGCTTTCAGGGTAGGCTTATTTCATAAGCATGTTGGTATGAGTGTATTTTTAATGAAGCATACAATCTGAAGAATTCATTCAGTAGCATTTAAGCATGGATTTCCCCATTTTTTATAGTGAACAGAGCTAAAATAAAACAGTATACTGCAATAGCAGTTAAGGATTGAAAGGCAAATGCACTAACTTTTGGTCTATCATCCATTAAAATAACCTAAGCCTATGGTGGACTAAGGTAGCTCTCTATACAAACAACCACCATGAAACTTTTGGAAATTCATACCCAATACTTGCACACTTAGAAATAAGAGTGGCTCAAGGCATATTGCTGTCTGAGGAAGAGGTATGAGATGTTTCCCATCACTGATGTCATTTCCAAATGGAACTAGCATCCTCTTCCACCTCACTTAAGGGCAATGAGCAGTGATGTGGCTTGCAAAACTCTCCCAAATGGCTGGAGAAGCTCAAACCGAACAGGTGAGGGGGAGAGCCACTACTGTTTGTCCTCCTCACACAGACCAGCATCTGTAATTTGGGGTAGCTACCTAATATCATTGTGCCATTATTCCAAAAGGAAATGTGCAGAAGTCTCCAAAGGCAGCCCTTCTATCTCCTGGATCATGCAATCAGACTTGACTCATGGGTCACAAGCTGAAATGCTCCTGATCCCCACAAACTCAGATGTGCCATTTTCTTAATCGGGTTCCTTTCAGCCCATGCAACCAGAACGGCCCTGCCTTAGCCAGGTCCATCTCCTGCATAGAGTTTTGGACTAGTGCAGGCCTGAACAAACTGTGGTCCTCCAGGTAATTTGGACTTCAGCTGCTAGAATTCTTCTCCATTAGATAAGATGGCTAGGGCTTCTGGATGTTGGAGGCCCAAACATCTGGAAGGCCACAGGTTGTGCAGGCCTGGAATACTCCATGAGTGAGATACCTCTTTCACTTGGACACTGTATTCCAGTAGTGGATGGGGACATATCCAAAGGATGGAAAAAAAATTATACATTTTAGCTTAAGCTCTTTAATACTAATAACTAAACCTTAGAAAAGGCATTTCAAGCTTTCAGAATGAGAAAAATTCATACAAATTCTGGGAAATCATGCCATGAGGAAGAAGCTGTGGCCATGTGGGGAATGCCAGAATGCTAGATTTTGACATCACCAGGGTTGGAATTCAGCCTTGGAGTTTAAAGCCTTAATATTTAGCCCTTGGACCAGTCGTTCCCAGAAACAACTGGGTTCCTGTTGTCTCACTAACATGCCTGGGTTGTTTTAGTACTCAAGAGCAGGTCTTGAAAAAGTTACTTTTGTATAATATAACTCCCAGCAGGGTATGGATTTCTGAAACTGTCATTATAAAAACAAACCTTTCCCAGCAATGTCTGAATAATTTCTGATTGTGATAAGTTTCTTGCCATTCTTTCAAATTTCAGTAGTGGGTGGGTAAACCAACATAATTTAGAAGAAATGTTTTACCTAAGGTTGCCAGTTGTTTGAAATGCAGACAAGCATTGGGCTGGCCCAAGAGATCCAGTCGATGATAAAGAAGCTTGCTACTGGGTACTGTGTTGAGATTTTTAAGTTGTCTAACAGGTATTTCTGGCTGTATCACAACAATGCACAATATGAAGGAAGTATCTTGAACCTAAAGAAAGATCAAATGCAGGTTCAGAAGGAAAGCATGTTTATCTTATCACAACAAAGTAAGGACATTTGAAGTTATAATTTTCAGCAATTAAAACTATGTCCAGATTTAGAATGTCCCCTAAAGATCTAATTTCCCCATTTCCTCTCATAATAATCTATGATTTCTATAGATCCCGAAAAAGTTCACATCCTGCAAAAACCAGCCAGTCTGATAATGGCAGTATTGCTGTCCAGTTGATTTCTATTACTAGGGTGTATATTCTATTTAACTTTACATTACTTCTCCTTAGTTGTATACCTGCCGAGATATGCAAGACGCAGCTCATTCCTTGTTTCATTCTTTTTTWAAAAAAATAATTCCAGTAGAAGATTTCAACTTTATGTTCTCGAGTAGTGTAGTCGTTTAGAAATAGGAATTACTGAGAAAAAATACTCCKCCCCCCCCCCCCCACACACACCCTTCCCATGGACAGCTCAAGTAATCATTCACTTATTACAGATGAGTCATTAAAAATTTCTGCTCTGTGCTTACAAGAGATGTGAAAAATCTTAATAGAGATGCTGTGGATGGGAAACAGGGGGAGGGACTCACTTCTTAAAATGGCAGGTCCTCCTCATAGTCAGTTTCTCCTGTGTGGCTTCTTCAGACTTTCACATTTCTCAATATATAATGCAAAAATAGTTAACTGAACTGGAATTTTCCTACAGTGATTTTTTTTGGTGTCAGGAGCAACTTCAGAAACTGCAAATTGTTTCTGGTGTGAGAGACATTAGCCAGGGGACATCTGGATGTTTTACTATCCTATGGGAGGCATCTCTCATGTCCCTGCATGAGAAGCTGTAGTTGACAGATGGGAGCTCACCCCACTCCCTAGATTCAAACCTCTGACCTTTTGGTCAGCAATCCTGCCGGCACAAGGGTTTAACCCGCTGTGCCACCAGGGACTCCTATACAGTGATATGGTATATATTGTATATTCATTTTTGTGCAGTGGCAAGTCAGCATCTCTATACAGTGATATGATATATAGAGATGATGACTTACCATTGCACAAAATTAAATACTGTACAATAATCTAGTGAAAGTAGATAGAGAGCAGAATCCATGTGATCAAACATATTAAATCTCTTGAATGTCAGGTTTATAATTCAAAACCATGTAGCTTTTCGGTCACGTAGAAATACTAAGAGAAGAACTATTTTAATTAAAATTTGCCGTCAGCTTTAATATATTAGCATACCTTAAGTGAATTCTACCACTTACCATTTTCCAGGCATAACTCACGTTGTAGGCATCTTTCCCAATTTCCCGCAGTTTGTTTACATGCCAAGATAGTGAGGAGTTCACTGGGACTGTAATAAGCTGACTGCCTAGAGGGAGGCTAAGTTGGCAACAAACAATATCCATCCGTTATTAAAACAGGAAAGAAACTCAGTCCTTGTGTTTACTTTACAGTGAGATTATGGAATTCGCTCTTAATTAAAAATAGAAGTGGACTGATTTCTTACATCATCACATACTGCGGGACTGGGTTCCTAAAAGCTCCATCAGGAAAACTGGTTCCAGATGACATATTTTTATGATAAAATCTCTAGATTACCATATGTATTGGTTGTATGTGATTTCTGGGAGTAAGTGTTGGCTATTTGTGTTTCACCAGAGCAAAATTAGCATGCAATACTTTCCAGACCAGATAAAGACCAATGCAGCATTCACTCAATGACACAGAGTTATAAACTTCTGAAATACTGTATGTATTTACTACTAAATGATCTAGAGTAGACTTGTACATTGTTGGGTTTCATCCCTGACTGCACAAGTCTCCAGTTTTCAATGAGTAGTTAGCCTAGATAGATTAGAGTGAGGCAGGCCCGTAGCCAGGATTTTGATTCAGAGGGTGCTGAGTTTGATTGGGGGGGGGGGGGCTGAGGATCTACCCTAGCAAACCTTTTGTATAATTATCCCAATACCCCCATGCATATGGGATATATTGAGCATAGTGATCAGATCATGATATGAATAAACATAACAGTTTAAATAATGTACCAGTAAGGCCTTCTCGCAGACCACCCTGAGAATTTCAAGGGGGGGGGGCTCAAGCCACTCAAGCACCACCCCCCCCCCCCCCCCAGCTACATGCCTGGAGTGAGGGATTCCTTTCCCAATTTCCTCAAGCAAGTTTATCTGAAGGGGGTTGTATTACCTCATTTTTGCATGCCACTATCTCCTCCCCCTTTGAATACACCATAAAGTCAAAAAGCAACTTGAAGGGCCACAAAGCTCCTAAGCTAATGCTTAAGTATGAGATTGGTGTAGAGCAGTGGTTCTCAACCAGATGTTTTTGGCTTTCAAGTCCAAGAAATTCTAACAGCTGGTAAACTGGCTGGGATTTCTGGGAGTTGTAAGCCAAAACACCTGGGAATCAACAGGTTGAGAACCACTGGTCTAGAGATTCTGTGGGACAGTATAAATCTTCCTAGCTGAAAATCATTTAGGGGTGCTATTCCTACTATCTCAGCCAGGCTTTAAAAAGTACCAGGAGTGGTACTTCTAGTAACAAGCTGCACAGTCTCAGAGATGCAGGCCAGAAGGCACTCTGTGACCATGCTTCTTAAATTGTGGGACCTGACCCCAAATGGGGTCCCCTTAGCTCAATGTCGGGGTCCTGAAAAAATTGACAACAATAATAGTTTTCACAACACTTAGTAGTTCTTTTAGACATTTGCACAATTTTGTTGTGCAGGGTTTACCGTGGTCTCTGCAGAAGATGTTTCAGCTCTGCTTCATAAAAAGGAAAATCAGTCTGTTTAGCAAGCTTTGCAAATATTTGATTTTTATACCTTTTTAATATACCTATATACCTGAGGTCATGTAAAAATTTCTGGGGCTGAAAGGGATTGTGAGTGGAAAAGTTGAAGAAGCAATAACTATATTTGGCATGATCTGAAATAATGTTTACTGTTTGGCATCACACAGAATTTGCTTATATAAAAACAAAAAACGTTCCTACATCGGCTGTAGCTGCTGAAGATCAATACAGGTTGCATAGGAGATTGTGCAGATGTCAGCCTTGTATGAAGTATTAACTCATTAGTCTTACCTAAGGATGTTCTGCCGAACTAGTTCAAATTTTGGAACATTCTCATAATGTATCACATCCGTGTGAAGTGGTGGTTCAGATAGCAAGTAGGGTCTGGTAAGGGAAGGGTGCATAAGAGTGTATCCTAAAAATTAAAGAGGGATATTTTGTTCAACATATATAGAAGTTTTTTAAATCATGTTTGAAATGGATTTATAAAATTCCCACTAAAATGCACAAAAATATAGAGTAACAATATGTCATTATTTGAGGGCCAACAGAAAGCAATCCAAAGTGGGAAGTATGCACTCCTCAAGATGTTTTTGGACTGTAACTCCCAACATTTCCCATTGGCTATGCTGGCTCGAGTTTCTTTGATTCGCAGTCCAATCTTATCTGGAGATTTGACCAAATCTCAACCCTGAAATAAAATACAGTTGGCCTTCTGAATTCACAGATTCCACCATGCATGGCTTGAAAATATCCCCCATCCCGCTCCCCCCAAAAATACTAAAATATAGCCTTCCATTTTATCAATTTATATAAGGGACATAATTCTACTGTGCCACTGCTTTTGGTATCCACAGGGCTACCTGGAACCAACCTCCAGTGAATGAATGCTAAGGGCCCACTGTACTGTGATTCAAAAATAAAATATTTCAAATAATACAAATTTTGTTATTAGCTTCTAATATAGGATGCATATTGATTGCCTTGAAAGTACCTTTGTTATCTATCAGAAATGTGTAGGAAGCCAAAGAATCTTGGTAATAAGTAACATCTTCCAAAATGTAAGCCAGGTTAACATCTACTCCTACAATTCCCAACAGCAGGTTTCCAAAATAACAAGGTTTGCTTACAGTCATTATCAGACCTGTGAACAACAAAAAAGCACACAGACAATTAGCAATAGAAAAAAAAACTTTAGCACTTGAAGTATAATGATAGAAACCTTCGGTTATATACATAATCATATGCATGTTGATTGGGACTTCCCAAATATTAAATAGGCTTTACTTCAAACTGGAGTCGCATGGTGGTCCAATGGGTTAAACCTGTGTGTTCCCAGTTGTTTTGATCTTCAACTCCCAGAAATTCTAAAAGCTAGTAAACTAGCTGGGATTTCTGGGAGTTGAAGGCCAAAACATCTGGGGACTCACAAGTTGAGAACCACTGGGTTAAACCCTTGTGCCAGCTGAACTGCTGACCTGAAGATTGGCGGTTTGAATCTGCAAGATGGGGTGAGCTCCCATATGTCAGCTCCAGCTTCCCATGTGGGGACATGAGAGAAGCCTCCCACAGGATACTAACACAGCTGGGCGTCTCCTGGGCAATGTCTCTGTAGATGGCCGGTTCTCTCACACCAGAAGCGACTTGCTCAATTCTCAATTTGCTTCTGACATGATAAAAAGATAACTTTAAAACTGCATTTTGGATTACTGCCTTAACGCTTGTAGGGGAACTATCTGTTTTTTAAGTTTAGGCCAACTCTCCCCAATTGGGATCCCTCCAGATATTGTGGACTCACAACTCCTATCAACAGAAGCCAGCGTGACTTTTGGTAAGACATTATGCGAGAGGAATATCAAAGTATTTTAGAACTGAGATTAAAGATGTTTGCCATTTTAGAAGAGTCAATTCCTTGTGTGCAATGGAGAATGTTACTTATTAAAAATAACAAACATTGACAGCTTAGTTAACTAGGGGCACATTATTAGCTGATATAAAGGGTTTTTTGACCAAACTAACTACGTATTTCTTCAACTGTAATACGCCACTAGGTATAAGATGGACCCTAATTTCTAATTTCAGTACAACCACAAAAAACAAAACAAAAAAAACACACACACACGCACACAAGATACACCATTTTTGAGATGTTTATATAGGAAAAAAGTGTGTCTTAGAATTAACGAAGTACATTGGCTAACAACTCGCTAAGTATTTATTCAGGGCGGTTCCAGACAGGCCTTTATCCCAAAACTATCTGCATTTAAAAAACACGGATGTTCCTGAGGACCTGTCTACACACACCCCAGAAAGTGTGCACTTTCTGAGGTGAGTGTCCAGATGCTCTTGCAGGACTGGCCCATGAGAACATCTGGAGGCCCTGCCACCCTTCCCCAAAGCCCCCAAACCTCTTTGAAAAGTAAGGAAAACTTATCTGGCCTCCAGTAGATTGTAGCTGGAGGTCTCCTGGCATGTAGAAATGATGTGTCAGGAAGGTGGGGTTGGGGAGCGACTCCCCCCCACCACTCTCCTGGCACGTCATTTCTACACACCAGGAGAGCTCTGGCTACAATCTACTGGAGGCCAGGTAAGTTTTCCTTACTTTTCAAAGAGGTTTAGGGGCTGTGGGGGTGGGTATTCCTAGAGTTTACCGGACTAATTTAGTCCAGAAAACTGTGGGAATTGTGTATGGACTGCAGTCCAGACACCAGACATAGTGGGTTTATCCCGTGCCTTCCATGAAGGTGTGGAATAAATCCACTATCTAATTAATTCACTACAAACCAGGGTTTACCTGGTTTGTGGCGAATAAATTTGGGATTGTCCAGGATGTCATCTGGATAGCCCCTTCTTTATTGTGGGAATTACCGCAATAAAGGGGCTGTATGGATGCACCCTCAGAGGTAAGCAGTAGTTACTTAAGTGGAAGAGAGAATCATATTCCTAAGAACATGTGTACACAATTTCAGCTCAAATGCTGCAGTTTTTTAATGAGGCAATTTAGGCATCACATTATCAGCAATCTTCGTACTAATTTGGAGAGGGGGGCATCTATAGTGGGAATCACAACTGGGAAGCAGAATAGAGAGAGAGAGAGAGAGAGAGAAAGATGAGCCCCATCCATCAGTTTATACTGCTAAAATTCACTCTTATATCTCACAATTATATGTATTAATAAAATCAGCACAAAATAAAGGTTTCTGATTCTAAACAATATTTCTAATATGTAGTCCTGGATCAAAGGAGAGATGCATGAATATGTTCAAGGACTTAAAAACTGGCATGATTAGTGTTTGTGGTAATCTCAGGAATCATATCCACTGAATTCAGATTAGTGCTGGATACAACCAAGTTGGAGCATTCATTTTTCAAAGAAGATGAGGAGGAGGAGGAGATTTGCATTGCAAATGTATATTTTTAGCTCTTCTGAATGGTCTCATGAAATCATGCAGGTTTAGTGAACTGTTCCTCCTTTGCCCTCCAGCACAGACTGATGACACAGTTCCTGAAATGTTGACAGCAGTAAGCCCAAAGAATAAATAGCAATAAGCCCGAAGACTGATTAAGTTCCTATATCAAAAGAGCTTAGCAAGAGATAGGAAATAATAATATGTAATTATATTTATGCAGCTATATCCCACCTTTCCTCCAGGGAGATCAAGGCAGAATAAACACATGTGATTTCCAGACTGTCTCTCATCCAGCCATGACCACACCCAGAACCCACTTAACCATTAGAAAATTACTGCATCACTTCTTCATTCTTTAGAAAATTAGTTCTTCCCTTCCACTGCTCTTGGCAAAATAAATCCCAGTATAGCAGTTGATCAGCGAACTCTAAAACAGAACCACATAATTATTTTGGAGGATCCCAGTGCCTGAGGTAAGAACATATCCATCTGATTTCATCTTTACCTTCTCCAAAGCACTGCCATTTTTCAGACTCTGGGGACAAGATAATATAGGAATGTTTTGCAAAATGTGCTGTCACGCTTTTAAGAAAACTGCAGAGCATCCCTCATTTACATAAACCCAGCCTTCCTCTTCCTATATCTTTAATTTTTCATATCTTTGACTGTCCTTGGGGGAAAAAAAGCAAACCTGCTGCCATGTTAAGAATTATTCTCTGGAGCCTTGGATCTTTTGTGTTTACTTAGATTTGACTGACATCTGACTTGTTTTAAAATTCAGCTGTGTTTTTGGCAACCAAGTGGCCCTTTTTTGGATGTGAACTCTACTTTCCTTACTGGTTTTCTATGTCACTTGTTTTTTATTCAAGTGATTTTGACTATATTTAAATACTACAATTTTTGTGTTTTTGTTTGCACCTTTTGGCTAATCTTTTTATTGATTGTATTGCAACCCAGTCTGGGATAAAGGCAGACTATAAATAAAACAAAACAAACAATTAAGCAAAAGATTTACATTTTGGAAACTCTTCTTTGTCAATGCACCTTTAAATACAATATAACCACCAGCAGCTACAACAACAAATTCTCACTCAATAGTAATATGTATTCCAGAAGAGGCAAGTTTTACATACTTTTTGTAAAGCTGCATGAGCAAAGAAGGTTCAAATAGATTTATTTATTACGTTTGTTATTTCTTAATCTGCCATAGGCCACAAAATGATATAGGGCAGTGTTTCTCAACCTTCCTAATGCCGCAAACCCTTAATACAGTTCCTCATGTTGTGGTGACCCCCAACCATAAAATTATTTTGTTGCTACTTTATAACTGTAATTTTGCCATTGTTATGAATCGTAATGTAAATATTTGATATGTAAGATGAATTTTCATTCACTGGACCAAATTTGGCCCAAATACCTGATATGTCCAAATTTGAATACTGGTGGGTTGAGGAGGGGAGGTTGATTTTGTCATTTGGGAGTTGTAGTTGCTGGGACTTATAGTTAACCTACAATCAACTCCAGCAACAATGGAATTGAACCAAACTTGGCACACAGAACTCTCATGACAAAGAGAAAATACTGGAAGGGTTTGGTGGGCATCGACCTTGAGTTCTGGAGTTGTAGTTCACCTACTTCCTGAGAGCACTGTGGACTCAAACAATGATAGATCTGGACCAAAATTGGCACGAATATTTAATATGCCCAAATGTGAACACTGGTGGAGTTTGGGGAAAATAGACCTTGACATTTGAGAGTTGTAGTTGCCGAGATTTATAATTCACCTACAATTAAAGAGCATTCTGAACCGTATCAATGATAGAATTGGGCCAAATTTCCCACACAGAACCCTCCATGCCTTGAAGGGACGCACTGGTATGAGCATCCCTCCAGCCTTGCCTGCTCACGCTCACCGGCACATGCGTGCCATGTGTCGAGCACACCTACTCTCCCCTCCTTGCCTGGAGTCTCCGAAACAGCCCTCCACTTGGCTGAGAGGCCGTCCAATCACAGCAGAGGAGGGCTTTTGGTAGGAGGATTTGCCATCTGTTTCCAAAAAGGAAAAGAAGGACAGGTGGAGAGATCTTCAGCCTTCTCTGCCAAAGGGGTTCCTAAAACCATCAGGAATATATAAGTCAACTTCTATCAGAAGACCAACCTTACATTTGAGTTGGAGGACCTTTCAAATGCCTAGAGAAGTATTCTCCCTACTAATCTCTGGGTACTCCAATGTGATTATACTCATCTTCTGGTGGATGGTGACCATAGTCACAAGGTAGTGAACCTAGATATGCCTAGAAATTGCCCCTGAAGACTGCCTGGAAGCTTCAGCTAGTTCAGTGCTGAAGCGGGGTAAAGGGAGCATACAACTCCCTTGTTGTGCCTGCTCCACTAGCTGCCTGTTAGCTTCCGAGAATAATGCAAAGTGCTGGTTTAACTATAAAGCCCTAAACGGTTTTGGCCCAGTTTACCTGTCTGAACATGTCTCCCTCTATGAACTATCAAGGACTTTAAGATCATCCGGGGAGGCCCTGCTCTTGGTCTCACCGCCATCGCAGTTGCGTTTGGTGGGGACGAGAGACAGGGCCTTCTCCGTGGTGGCCCCTCAGCTGTGGAACTCTCTGAGGTTTGATCTGCCCCTCCCTCCTGTTCTTCTGGACGAAACTTAAACCCTGGTTATGGGAGCAAACGTTTGCAGATCAGACTAATTTTACTGGCGAAGACGAGATTTATTTTGACCGGAATTTGGACTGACTTGGATGACATTTTTAACCTGGTGAATTGCTTTAATATATATTTCTATTGTTTTTAGGTATTTGATTGAGTTTTATATGCTTATACTGCGTTGGCATTGAATTGTGCCTGTTGATAGCCGCCTTGAGTCCCTCTTCAGAGGTCAAGAATGGACGGGGTGTAAATGTTCTAAATAAATAATCAAATCCATAATAAAATCCACAAAGGTTAAATCCGCAAACATGGAGAACCAACTATATAATCAAAGTTCCTAAAAGCTCCCTCACATCCACTTGGGATCTCTTACAGAAGCCTAAGGTTCCAGGGAACTCTGGTTGAGAAACACTGCTTTAGAGAAAAGGGGAATGCACAAAAGGATTTCTAATGTAATATGTGGTTTGTGTGTTTTGATCCTATGTCACTTCAAGCCATGTCAATTAAAACATGTTACATGTGTCTGCGGAAAACACACATATAACTAAAGCTCTTTGGAATGGGTAGAACGCTAAACAGAAGATTTCCCCTCTGGTATTGTAACCTAACAAACCATCATTTTTGTAAGTCATGGCACATTACCCTCATTTTCCACACACCAAATTTCCTGTACTTTGCACAGAGCATTTTCAGTGTTATGCCTCCATGAGCTGTCCCTCCCCACTTCATACTTTCCCCTCAGGGGCAGGCAAGTAAAAATACCACCTACTAAGTTTACTACAAATTAGTAATGGAAGACAGAGGAAAACATTTCCACTCAGAAAGGAGGGTATCTTTTAATTTACCAGATCTCTTACGCACTTACCATCTCCCATTTCATCCAAAAAAGGCAAACTGAAGACTGCTTCATCAATCATGTGATTTGGGAGATTGGTGTAAAACCGGCCAACTGTAGTTTCCAAATTGCTCAGCTGGTTCAGGACCATCATGCTCCCTTTTATCACAGGCAATGCAGTCCGGTCTGGCACGCCATACTTGGCTGAGTTTTGTTCCGCCAGATCTCTGAGAAAGGCGAGTTCTTTTAAAACGGTCACACCCTCTGCAAAACAGATGTTGCGATTAAATGAAGAGCAGACCTTACTTGCACAGTGTATGGATTAATTCTGACAGGGTCATATATGCCAAGAGAACTGAAAAAGAGCAGATCATATAATGTACGTGAAAAACCTGGGTCTGCAATTGCATCTTTTTTTTCATGCATAACTTATATTGTACATGAAAAACACTGTGCCAATGCAAACCTTTGGGTTCTCTGGTCCAACATTTCCCTTTTTGTAAACTGCATTTATGAGAAAAATAGTACTATCTACCCCTTACCATTAATTAGAGCATAGGTAAGGATCATTACAGAATTGTTGAGAAAACTGTTTTCTTCATTGATGACACGAAGGGTAGCCTTTTTACCATCCTCTGATGAATCCCTTGACGTTATTCCAGCCGATAAATAAATAATGACCATATCTGTATCTAAGAAGAAACGTAAGATGGGAATGGTTATATTACAGCATGTTAACAATATATTATAGTTATGCAACACTAGATTATAAGCATTACATTCACTCCACTTCAACAACGGGTAAAGCAAGCAGAAGGAACCTTTTTCCATCTAGAACAGGCATGGGCAAACTTTGTTGCCTTGGGGCTGCATTGTGGGCCAGGCGGGGCGGGCTGGGCCAGGAGGGAGGGGGGCTGGTCACATGCTCGGGAAACAACAGGGCCAGGAGGGGCCAGGGCAGGGCCCGGGTAATCTGCAGGTTGTCCTCCCAGCATAGGAACAGTGCTGCTCATCCCATCCTTATGCTGGGAGGAAGGCAGGACATGCGTGATTGTCCCAATCTTCCTTCCCATCCTCCCTCCCCCCAATCCTTGGGTTGTCCTCTTGGCATTTTGTTGAGGGCGAGATAGGCGGCAGCTGAGTGGGCTCTGGATGGGGTCGCTTGCATCATCTTTATGCTGTGAGGTGATGAGACACACAATGGATGTGAACAATCCAGAGGGCTCTCTGCTACTATGTGCCTTCCTCCCCCATCTTTTTAGCATAAGGATGTAGCAGGCCAAGAGGACAGGGAAAATGAGCAGGGTCTGAGGTAAGCGCTGCATCCGACCTGCAGGCCTTGGTTTGCCCATGCCTGATCTAGAAGATCCTTCAGTGCTACATTCCATATGAAATTTAAAAACTCAACTTTCACCTCTGAATAAAAATACGTTTTACCCAAAGCAACCAAAGTGAGGCCACCTGGAAAGACTGGCTTTGCATATATGATAGAAAGACTATATTCTCCAATCTCAAATCAACAATAAACACGTAACATCTCCTAACTCACTGTCCATTTATAATCTCTTCCAATATTGAATGGGTGTGGGAGGCATGGAAGGAGAAAAGCTCAAAGAGGTTCTAAGGAAAGCGAGGCAAGGCATTGGAAGGTGGGTGTCACTTCCCTTGTTTGATCATTCATTTCAATATAAAATTGATTCTTCCCTAATTCTTAAGATAAAAGGGAACTGTGCGTTTAATAATCTGCTTTGGTCCTCTGAAGGAGAAAGCACTTAATATTATGTAGTAAAGGAACAGCGAAACACATGTTTGTATCATCCCTTTCAGTGCATTTGGTGGCGGTGGTGGCCCTTGCAATTGTTAACTTTGACTTATGGCAAGCTGATGAATGAGAGACCTCCCAATCACCCTATCACCAGCCCTTTGTGAAGGTCGGTAAATGTGTATAAGCAGAATAAGTAAAAGCTTCACCACAGTATTTAAACCAAGGTATATCCTGCTGTATAGTAAAATGTCACTCAGGCCTGTGAAACAAATAAAAACCTTACTCCAACAATCTTTATTTATCTCTCTCCAGTTAACCCACCATATCATGGCTTTCTTTTTTAAAATCCTAACATCCTTGATTGAGATTCTCATCTATAATGCTGTCTTCCTCTTTTCCTACTGCCTTTTACCATCATTGCCTCTTCTAGGGGGTCATGTTTTCTCATTATATGGACAAAGTACGACAATCTCAGAAAAATTTGAAAAGAATGATGGAGAAAATAAAGAGAATGCAAGCTTCCATCCAACAACAGAATAATACTTATCATTTTGTAATTATCAACAAGCTGCTACAAAACTGCCCTTCATCATAATTTCAAAATCCTGTTTTTTTTATTACACCAACAAATGGGAGAATAAAATATTCAAGTGTTTTCAGTCACTTGGCATACAATTTCCACAGTCAGCTAACTATATCCACAAGAATTATAGGCACTTGTCTCTTCTTTTCTCCTGTTACTGAACTACATACAAGTTGCATAAGGATTTATCACTTATGAAAGCTTTGTGAAACCTTCTAGAATGAAATGAATTGTGGAAATGTAAATTAATTACAAAGTGTCCATTTGCTCTCTGTTAAAAGACTGAGCGGTACACAAACAACCATCTTCTCGGCATCACTCTTATCTTTCATACCAGATATGCTCAATAATGTTTCCATTAAAAAACCTTTGTTTGAGAAGGGGGGAAATGTATGGATTCTTTGACATATGTGCAGAACCTGCTGGGAAGAGCAGGATGTTTTTTTAAGAAATTCACAATACACCAGAACAATCATTTTTGCGCTAGAAAGGAAAGCAAGCAAGAGGATTGTTTACAAGGAAATGGAAGTGCTTTGTGCATCCTTTCTGAATTACAGAGTGGCATGGCCCCTCAGTGCATTTGTTTGTGAATAATATACAATACTGCTGCTGTAACAATAGTGTACCTTTAAAATGGAGGCGGATGTAGCAGTTGTACTAATATAATGCTGAATACAAAAACATACTTGTGATTTTGAACCCAACAACACATGTCAAATACGAGCACAAGCAAAACTCTCTTCCTCTTGCCCCCTGGTAACAAACTGAGTGAGTAGTTAAAACGGAGCAGGGAAGAGTCTGCTAGATGTGGAGAAGGGTTACTGATTCTTCTTAAACAAATGGGATGAAGTACATTATTTGACAATGGAAGGTGTCAAAGCTTTGAATAAAAGCAGTCAAAAGTTCCATTCGCCCCCACCCCAGATGTATTAAGGTTGGGTTTTTGTCAATCTACTCTTGCTTAATGTCTAACCAGTAGGTAAAGGTAAAGGTCTTCCCCTGACATTAAGTCCAGTTGTGTTCGACTCTGGGGGTTGGTGCTCATCTTCATTTCTAAGCCAAAGAGCTGGCATTGTCCGTAGACACCTCCAAGGACATGTGGCCAGCATGACTGCATGGAGCACTGTTAGGCAAATCTAAAATTTAGCAAACATTTAGTCTTCACGTTATATTCTTATTTAGCACTTTTAAATATTATGATGGGTGAGGGAAAGTTTATATTCCTATTTTTCACTTCATTAAGCTAACTTTTTTATATTAAAACACATTATTGATTTATTTACCATATTTATACCCCACCCTTCTCAACCCCGAAGGGGACTCAAGGCGGCTTTACATATAGGCAACTATTCCATGCCTTAAAACAACATACAGTTAAAATAAACATTTAAATTAAAATTAGAATCAATACACATTAAAACATTTTAAAACATTACATTAGCAGATCCATAGTATCTGCTGGGGTTTTGTTCCAGGATCCCTCCACGGATACTAAAATACATGAATGTGCAAGTACCATTATACCAGTGGTTCTCAACCTGGGGTCCCCATATGTTTTTGGCCTACAACTCCCAGAAATCCCAGCCAGTTTACCAGCTGTTAGGATTTCTGGGAGTTGAAGGCCAAAAACATACAATATGCAATGGCATAGCAAAATGCCATCCTTTATATAAAATGTCAAAATCAAGGTTTGTTTTTGGATTTCCCCCCCAAATGTTTTTGAGTCATGATGGGTTGAATCTGTGTAAATAGAGGACTGACTGTACAAACCTGTGTATACAACAAATTTTAGGAGATTGTGTACATGAATCACAGCCATCAACATGTGATGTACTTTCGGCACGCTACAGCAACTGCTCCATTTTATCAAATTGTGATAGTATGCTAAAAGCGGCAATGCTTGATAGATCTTTCCTCTGGTAAAAAGTACCCACATTGGTATCAGCCCTTATTTTTTGCTAGATTAATAATTATATTTAGTATGCCATGCCTTTAATTTAACAAAAGCATACTCTATCTAAGATTCCTGACATTTTGTTCACAGTAGACTCTATGCTGCTAGGTGCACTGCATACCCACCTATGCCTTGGGTAATGGCCTAGTATTGCTACTGGCAGTCTTCCATCCATATACTGGCAAAGTTCAGACCTGCTTAGTTTCACAACAGAACTGCATCCAATTCCTCTACATCAGACAGTCTACACAGATTTTGGCCTAATTTGATATGGCCCTCTGCCTAATTTCTGCAAGCAATTAGTTTAGATATTTGGCAAAGGCAATTAACCAATATTTCTGTCTGCTGGATGGAAAGAAATAGGGGGAAGAAGCTACGGCCCTCATTCTTGTATCCAAGATACCCACCAAAAGGAGACCATAAATTGGAAAAGATTTTGGAGCAAAAGGAAAAGTTGGGAGATATGGAAACACAAACGAAAAGGAAGACATTTTAGCTGTTAATTTAGCTATTGATTTAAGGGTTCAGATCCAGAAGTCATATTCAGAAAAGACTAAAATACATAATTTAATAATGACTCAACTATTTTAATTTTTTACGAAGTCTGAGATCTAACCTATTCCTTGCCATTTAGATAAACAGTTTAAAACATATAATGTTGTAAACACCCCCACTAAAAGCAGCAATTAATTTTTTAAGGGTGGAAAAGCAAGAGAGAGAAACACAAGGATGAAAAAAAAGTAATAGAGCATAATAACAAACTTACTTGCTTGCAGTTTAGTGCTATTGTTTGTATTTCTTATCAACTGAAATGCTTTTTGAAATCCTGCTGCATGCTGAGTAGGGCTGTCAGATGACTTTATATTGCTAACGAAAGTGGACATTTTCCTTTTTGTCTCACTAGTGGCAGGAGACAGAAATGTCTTATAGCACTGGTCCAAGGAACAGGTTCTTACTGTGTCTGCCACAGTTAACACAGAAATCTTTAAAGAGAAAAAAATATATAGACATATTTATACACTGGATTATTTTACTGCTTAGAATTCTTTTATGCGTTCTACTATAGTACACACTGTGATAAGCCAACAGAGAGGACTATGGGGATTTAAAATCCAATTGTCTAAGAAAATAAAGCTTGAGGTATAAACCTGTCAAGTTTAAGAAAGGTTCAATTTATGAAAAAAGGAGTTTTGCTTTTGTTTTATCAAGGTAGAAATACAGTTTTTCCTGTTTTATACTTGATTATTAAGACAATATTGTAAATTTTGAGCCAAAAATTACGTTACGAACCATGGATATATTGACAATAAAACTTAGGGGAATGTAACAAAAGATGAAAAGGAAGAAGCAAAGGAAAACAATGCAAAAGAAGACGTGTTCACTCTAACAACTGGATGGATGAGAAGAGAACTAAGTTGTGGTTATATATATATATAACCACAACTTAGTTCTCTTCTCATCCATCCAGTTGTTATATATATATGAATGAGAGAGGGAGGCCCTGCTTTGGATCACCACTCACATGCTGATGCTGTTCTTGCAAACCAAGCTGGGGAAATGGGGGAGGCGGTACCAAGCCAAGCTTAGGGAAGAAGGAAAGAGGAACAGACCTACAGCCCACCTATGCTCTACAGAAGTGGAGAATCATGAAGCACTATCCAAAAATTCTGCTCTAACAGAGCAAGGAGTAGTGAAGCTGGGGAAATGGGAGAGGAGGCACCAAGGCCAACTTAGAGGAGAAGGAAAGAGGAAGCCAAGGCTGCCCAACAGGACCCACCTATGCTCTACAGAAGTAGGGGATCGTGAAGCACTGCCCAAAAACATGACTTGTGCTCATGGAATTCAATAATTCTGCTTTATCATGAAGCAATGTCCAAAAAGGTGCATGTAATTGATGTCCATAAAAGTTGACTTCTATGTACACTATACCCTTTCTGACAAAGAGCTATTTGATTGCTCTTGTGAGCTCTGTCCAAAAAGACCTGCACATAACAGCTTCAAGCTTTTTTGGGAGGGGGGAGGGGTAGCAAACAACTTTTGTGACCCCCCCCCCCACTTCCAGTGGCCAGACTTATTGATATCCATGTGCCCAAGTCCTTTCTTGGACAGTTCACCATCATCATTCGCTTCCAGGAAACAGCTACTGACTTCCATATACACATGTCCCTTCTGGACAACACTTTGTGATCCTCCATTTCCAAAGAGCAGACCTTTGCGGCAGCCTCAGTGTTCACCTTATTTTCCCTCTGAGCCGGCTTTGCCTCCAAGGGTCAGAAACAACTTGAAGGCACGACAACAAAAATATATGTTAAACTTTTACATCAGCCATCTCAGTGACCTTGCATAAGGTTCTGGGAGACATTGTCCAAAAAAAGTAACTTATTATATTTCTTGATTACAGGCAGTGAATAATAGGATGTGAACAGCGTAACATTTTGGGGAAGTAAGCATTTAATGCTAACTTCCAAATACAGGTTGACAGGAAGGATATCGTGCTGAATGAAACACGTGGAAACCATCTCCTCTGTGGTTTTCACGTAAGTCAATTCCACTGACAGATCTGAACCCTGTTTTTCCCTGAGAAAGGTATATTTTGCAGCTCATAATAAGCATCTCTCCTGGCACTTCTTATCAACTGCAAGTCTCATACAACACTGATAACAGTTATCTCATCCTTCCTTTTAAACTCTGTAGCTGTGCTAGTAATCAAAGATGTTCAAATGACACCCGAAGCACAGCCTGCAGGAATCTGAACATTTTCCAATTTCCTTCTCACAAACATAGAACATAAAGGAAGGAGAGAATGAAGATGACCTGCTTTGGAAGATTGGCCTCTATCTCTCTCATAGTTGCAGTGCTCCCACTTTGGGCCTTGGACACACTTTGAACATACAATAATTGACTAAGAAATCCTTAATGGAGCTGGTGAGGAGGAAGTAGTAAAGAGACAGTTCATCTGGAATTTCAAAAGGTTTGCTGGCTCCCACTACTTGAGGCAAGTGTTGTAAAGGAGGTTCCCTCACACTGGCCCCAATGGTAGTGAAAACCATGGACCTGATCCTGGGTTATCCTAGAGAATTGAAAGTCCTTGGGTCCAAGTGAGCCATGGATGCCTCCTATAAGTCCTCAAATATTTTCTCCAGGGCCTAACATCAGCTGGCAATAGATCTGCACCTATGTAAGTTTTTGTGGATATACCATCAAAGGCAACTGCAAGTAGACATGACACATATGGAGGAAGCACACTAATCCCATCCCATTTGCACCAGGAAGACTGTTTGAGTGCTGCATTCTCACATATCTCTTTGGTTAACTCACTTTATCGTGTTCATCTATTGAATTCAGAATAACTTGGGCTGCATCTTTAGCAATCTGGAGTTGTGTCTCTGTCACTGATGCCCCATGGTCCACAATGACAACTATGTGCTTAGATTGAGGTCTAACTGTAGAGACATAGACAGGCCTGGAATTGAAACAAAAACAATTAGAGATTACATTGCTGTTTTAAAGCATCAATTACAGGTCTCAAAATAAATGACATGGGATTAGAAGGGACCTTGCTTTAGTATTGTAAATACGTTGCAAATAAAACGTAGAAGACCCAGGATGAGGGCATTTTAAAAATTGATTGTTTCTTTGTGTTTATTTCATTTCATGTGTTGGTTTTAGGTTTACCAAATCCCTGATGAGCTGGTGACTTGTTTGATAGCCTTAGGCAAAATGCTCTCTCTCCACCTTACTTCCCTATATATAAAAACTAGAATAATAATGACCCACCTGATGGGATTTTTGAAAGGACAAACATGACAAACATTGCAGACATTAAAGGCATGTCAGCTTGGCCAGAAATCCAACTGTGCAGCAGGGGACTGGCATACCAATAGTCCCCTTGACTTGTTATGCCTTGAATCTGGAATAACATTCTGTACTAGTTGTTCTATACTGGTTCATATTATATACATCATTTGGGGACAGTATAACCAATGACAGTGTTTTTATACACTCCAGTTTATCCTATGAATTATTTTTTTACATACTGAAGGCACAAGAAAGCATAAGACTGACAGGATGTATATCTGTGCCACTTGGTGCAGCAATTCTAACCCAATACATACAATACCATATAATGGCAAGCAAAGTCTATGTAAGCAGTGTAGAACTATAATAGAGAATTCGGTTTATGTGTTGTTGAAGGCTTTCATGGCCAGAATCACTGGGTTGCTGTGAGTTTTCCGGGCTGTATGGCTATGTTCCAGAATACAGCACGGAAAACTCACAGCAACCCAATTAGGCTCATGTTTATATGATCATAAGACAAAGTCTCTTGCTAAGATAGATCATTTCCATTAATGTTCTGGAATGTAATTCATGTAGCCCATGATCTGTAAGGCTTCCTTATCTCTGCATGCTATTTTTAAAAAGCTTCATGATGTGTGTTAAAGGCATGGAATACTTGGAAGCTGATGTACAAAGAACCTCTGGAAAGGACGTGAAATGTGACTAGCAAGCTTTTTCTGCTGTTATCTACAATCAATGATGAGAAATGAGACGCTGCTGTAATCTCCAATCAGTGTTCGTAAATAAGAGGATATTTTAAAAGTTTTCAAATGTGAAATAAATTGCAGAGGACCGAATTGGGCTATACAGGCAGGAAGGCTGTTGAATGGCACTAAGCTGTACTTTGCAGAGGGAGGGGCTGGTACACTGGGGCTCCCTCCAGAGTAAGCATAAAAATGAGCTATGCTTTGTATGTTTGGTGGGAAAATATTTCCCAGCCTTGGTTTAACTAGACAGTTGTTGTTATTGCTTTGTTGAAAGGGTTGAAAGCTAGAACAAATTGGCCTAATCTTGGCTAAGGAAATTAAAAAAAGCAAAACAGGAACACACACCCTGCTCCAGTTCTCTGTTTGTCTCAACCAAAGACTCTTTGGTATAAACAAAGGAACTTTGGGTCTAAATATTACTGCATCAAAAGACATCCAGAAGACTGGGGTTTTTTTTTTCAGGAAAAAGGAATGCTGGAGAATGTTTTAAAGGCAATGAAATACAACAGTTGGCATGATCTGCTCTTCGTTTTGAAATGGCCTGTAACTATATTATTGTACACACTGGTCACAAGGTTAACATTTGGTCTTTAAAAGCTCACAATGGACATTAACTAATAAGTAAAGATAGCTGTATTCGTGTAGTGTGGCAAAAGCACAAACAGTTCCTAAAAAGTTTTATCTGGCATAAGCTTTCATGGACTGTAGTGGATGAACCACTTAATGCATCTGAAAAAGGGAGCTGCAGTTCAGAAATGCCAAGTAAAGCTTATTAGTTTTAAGAGTTCACATTGCATTAACTAATGTACAAAGATAATGTTAATAACCAAAACAGAATAATGCATATGTCACAATTTTGTCTCTGATTTAATCAGCATTAAACAAGAAGGAAATCTGAAACTCGCAGTGGTTCTCAACCTGCGGGCCCCCAGGTGTTTTTTGGCCTAAAAACTCCCAGAAATCCCAGCCAGTTTACCACATGTTAGGATTTCTGGGAGTTGAAGGCCAAAACATCTGGGGACCCACAGGTTTAGAACCACTGCATTAAAGTCACAGCTGCAAGAGAAGACAATTTCGATTGCTCCCATGGAATTTTAGCTCCTCAAGGTCAGAGGAATCTGCCAATTTGAAAGCAATTAAACATGTAGTGTTCACGCAGCATTTTGAAGTCATCAAGATAATTCTAGTATCAAATATATTTGGTAGATCTGAAAATACTTATAAAATAATACACATAATTACCTATAGCACTTAGTAAAGAAATCAATGTCATAGTAAATCTACCTCCATATGCATATATTGCATCTACTGGATGTGGACTTTTGGTTGCATTTCTTCTGAAATACTTCTTATGCTATGGGTTGTTTTCAGTGCTTAAATGTATTTGCAGCAAAACACTTCATTTATCCAACTTAAATGGATATTGCCATTCTACTCATCACATCTATTTGGTCTGGCAGCAGCCAATCTAATTACAGGTATTATTTATCAACTTGGGTCTCTGTGTGTATGTTTAAGTTAATTGAGATAACAACTCTGCTAAACTGTCATATAGACAGTGCTGAATTTGTTCTGGTACTTCATATATTTAATGAAGACATTCCAATTATCCATGCTGATCTTAATGAAATTGGGGTTGGTTTTGCTTTGTATCTAAGGATTCTTTCCTGAATTGTAACTCCAAGAATATTGATAAGTCAGAACTGGGATCCTTTCAATCAATGGTTCTCAACCTGTGGGTCCCCGGGTGTTTTGGCCTTCAACTCCCAGAAATTCCAGCCAGTTTACCAGCTGTTAGGATTTCTGGGAGTTGAAGGCCAAAACATCTGGGGACCCACAGGTTGAGAATCACTGCTTTAGATGTTGCTGCTCTTCAGTTTCCATCATGTTCAGCCAGCCTGCCAATGATGAGGGATGATCAGAGTTGTAACAGTCCAAAAACTCCTGGAAGACTACAGTTCTATTGATGCAGATTATGGGGAGAAGAATAAACTGAAGCTGTGAATGAATGCCTTTCAGAAATTCACACGATCACATGAATACATCAACAATATGGGTTCAGTGGACTACTTAGTCCATTATGAAGGAGGCATATAACTACTTGCCTCTGCAGGTGGTCTTATTATATGTCCATGGCTCAACTGCAGAGCTGATATTGCCTCCAGAATGGCACACGGGATGTCATTTATGATGGGACCATGTTAACTGAGGAAACACTCATGAAACTTCAGCATGCGCTGATACTCAACATAGAGCCATTTTGCTTAAATGAAATGACCACAAGTTAAACTGTACACTGGAATAGAAAAGAGCTAGGTGTATTATATTACTAATGTAAGACATCTTTATTTATATTGAAGGGTGGACTGTAAAGAAGATTATGAAGAGTTATTCAGTAATAGGGTTTTTTTACACATCATTTAAAAAACATTTACAAAGTCATACCTGCTGCGATGTTCATAGTTTCCCTTGCATCGAAATTTGTGGGCTGGAAACACGGTAAAAATGCCCTCTTCTGAACTAAAATATTGCCATTTAATTCCTGGGTTGGATTTCAGATTGTCAGCAAGAACTATTTAAAAAGGGGGAAAAGGTTGGAGAAAATGAATAATATTAGAAGCTGGAGAAAATCTTAAGCACTGGCTTGATCAAAAGTAGCATTACTATGTCTGAAAGTAAATGTACAACATATTACTTATTGAAACTGTGTTTATATGACTGCCAACTATAAAATATGTACTGTATTTTCATATTTTTAGTAAACTGTTTTAGAACCTCAGATTAATGATTGGCGCTTTCTCTTAAAAAAGGCGTATTTCATATTTATATTCCTTAAGTGCATTTAGGTAATATAATATTCAGCTATAGTGTGCAGCACTAACAGCACATACTAACCACAGTTCTGTCACATGTCAAGAGATCTAAAAGTGACCACCTCGAGGATTAAAAAGAAGGAGAAAATTATTAACAGGCATTCTTGGCACACTGTATGCTATATATGAATTTTTCATTTAATTATTTTAATATAGGATATAATAGTTGTGCAGAAACAGTTGGAACCTAACTCACATTTCCGGGCGAAAAACTAAACTATGTAAGTCAAAAGTAACTGCATTTTAGGAATTTTTGAAAAGATTTGGGAGCCTTAATCTGTCACAGAAAAACAACGAAGAGATACTTCACTTTTTAAGATCAATACATTTATTATAAGATGAGTTGATATGGGAAATCCTCCAAAGCATGGAGAGTACCATAGTCTTTCAACTTCAGGTACTTATACAAAGAATTACACTGTTGAAAGGTACCAGAGTTGAAGGTATCCAGCACATATGGTTGGGTGTCACTAGATAGTAAAACATATAGTTGGAGGTAGAAGATGGAGGTTGGATCTAGACTGCCATATCACCCAGATTATCAAAACAAATAATCCACATTATCTGCTTTGTTTGGTTTTAGTTTTAGATGGTGGTGGTAATGGTGATTCTGTGAGAATTTCTGGGAGCTGCAGAAGTTGGAAACATACAGGTTCCAGACAGTAATTCTCACAGTTTTAATCTAGAATTCTGAAATGTGTAGTCCAAAAACTCTACTTTTCCAACTTCTAGTGGTGTGACACTGGAGGTCCATCCACATTGCAGAATTATAGCTGTATTGTTCTACTTTAAATACCATGGGTCAACTTTTTACAATGCTCTTGCAGGTTGTCCTCAGGGCAAACAATGTCCAAGTCGCCCTTCCCAGAACATGTTAGTTTCACCCAGCAACCAAACACTGCTTAAGCAGGCCACATCCATCTCTCATAATGGTGAGGACAATGGCGGTCTCTACCTTGTGGCTGCAACCTTTTCCCTCCTGCGCTAATACAGACCTTTGGAACTGCATTATATAGTCAGTGTAGATGGGGATGCAGTGATACCAGTGTAGTGCACCAACGACAATCCATGGAGAAGGATTTTGTACTTCCTTGTACTGCTATTCCCATTAACAAGTGTGCTGCCTTGAGCCCCGTAGTCATAAGATTTTTCTGCTTGAGAAACTGGCTTAGCCACGGTAGTCCACGCTCTGGTTACATCCCGCCTTGATTACTGCAACGCTCTCTACGTGGGGTTGCCTTTGAAGACAGCCCGGAAGCTCCAACTAGTCCAACGGGCGGCAGCCATGGTACTAACAGGAGCGGGGCGCAGGGAGCACACAACTCCTCTGCTGCACCAGCTCCACTGGCTGCCGATATGCTACCGGGCTCAATTCAAAGTGCTGGTTTTGGCCTTTAAAGCCCTAAACGGTTCTGGCCCAACTTATCTATCCGAACGTATCTCAGCCTATCAGCCCACCAGGACCCTAAGATCTTCTGGAGAGTCCCTGCTCTCTATCCCACCGGCTTCCCAAGTGCGGCTGGTGGGAACGAGAGACAGGGCCTTTTCTGTGGTGGCCCCTCGGCTTTGGAACACCCTCCCTATAGAGATACGATCAGCCTCTTCGCTGATGGTGTTTCGGAAGAGATTAAAAACATGGTTGTGTAAACAAGCATTCGGTTAGTTTGTTATCACCGAATTTTATGGACTAAGGACTGGTTAATTATGGATGACGAATTCTGGACTGTGATTTTAGTGACGAGATACATGGTATTATTATTGGTGGCCCAATAATTTGTATTGTCTATGTGTTGTTGTTTTAAATTGTATATTGTTTTTAATTGTTGTAAACCGCAATGAGTCGCCGACTTAGGCTGAGATATTAGCGGTATACAAGTGTATTAAATAAATAAATAAAAAAATAAATAAATATGTGGTATTAAAGATATGCTTCACCTTCAAGGCAGTTACAAATACTAAATGTTCTCCCATATACAAAAGAATTTTAAAAAATAATGTCAGTATTAGCTGGCACTGTACCCTTCCCACTGGGATTTATGCTATGGTAGAATACCAGACTCTCTTCCTCTTCACTCAAATCATTTTCATAAAGTACAACCTGCACAGATGGGGTAGTTTTGTTCTCATCTTACTGAGCTGTGACTGTACACAGAACTGTAGTAACTTATCCAAAAACTCAAACTGAGTGAAGCAGCCAAGCAAGTAATATAAGCCTTGGGGAATTTGCTCCAAGATCCAAGTTCAAGTTACTAGACCATGCTCACTCATTCTCCTGCAACTGTGTTTTTTTAATTATTCGAATAGCTTTTCAACTACGGATTTTTCATTTATGGGGTGAGACTTGACATTTTTAGGTGATATTTAAAGCTGGAAAAGAAACAGCTGTTAGATGCATTTTGACAAATCAGTAAGAACACCAGCTTTGTGTCAGTATTTTTGTGCTAAGTTACATTCAACCAAACAGTTTTGGCTGAGAAACAGAAAAATTGAAGTATGTCCCAATAAAGCTCTTCCCAGAGATAGCTAAATAAGCAATGTTGAGTCAAAATTCTCATTATTGAACAGATGTTGTTGGGGGAAGAAAAGAAAGTGTGCCAAGTGGCTGTAATGAAAATTCCACAACACTCTTGGAAGAATGGTAAGAATTCCAAGGTACTGGTTTCTAAAATGCAAATATAAAACAGAATAAAAAGCGCATACTGCAAAGATACACACTCACTAGTTAATATACACTGCCCACTCAGAAAACAGTTATCATTTAAATAGAGAGGGGGCACTGTATTCTGTCAATAACACCAGAAACAACATGGGCTGAAGGTACTTGAAGACATAACTTTTTAAACTACAGAATCCATTTCCTACATGCCTCCTGGAGTACCCCGAGAATCCGAATTAGAGTTGTGAAAATCCAAGAAAAAACAGGAAAGGTGAGATCCTCTTGGCTCCCACCAACAGACAATTTTCCAGTTAAAAAATGGAAATCACTGGGGGTGGAGGGGGGTGGTGGAAAAGTATGAAATATTTCTGCTTTTGTATATTATTGTCCCCACAATAATAGTAATTAACCAGCACAGTTAATTCCCAGATAAAATAACTGTGATTAGTAAGCATCCAACTCTTCCATTAGTCTATTCCACTATTGTATCTTCTTTGTTTCCAATGCTAGAAAGGATCTGACATCTTTAGCGTACCTAGATATAGTCCCCTTCAAAAGTGACATGTCCAAACTCTTGAGACTGTTGGATTGGTACCAATCCAGCGAATTGGAACCATACTAGCTCTCATTGCCAGATCCAGTGACACAATGGCAGAAACCTCACATGTAAGTATACCTTCAATTAAACAGTTTTTATAGGCCAAAAATGGTTGACCCCCAATCTGAACCGGCTTTCCGATTGTATCCTGTTGCCACCCAAGAATGATTACATGATAGTATTATAATATCATCAAGTTGATGTGACCGCATGTTGCCTGCACTGAATAACTTCTGAATGGTTTATTACCCGCACAAAGAAAGCCTTATTATATTCTGCTCCCGCAACAGGGTTTTGTGGAACTAAATCTTAAGTCAGACCCTCTAGCAGCAATATTCAGGTACATTAACTCTCTGTGCCTTCAAGGAATAAATGAGAGTAAACTGCTGACCAGCTCCTTGCTGCTCTAGTGCAGCTTTCTCACAGTAGCTGGAAAACATAACAGTTGGACATTTTGGTTGGGCTAGTTTCATTCCCCAACTCTGTGAAGAGCAGGGCTATGATGTGCAACAACAACTACAACAGCAACTACAACACTTTATTTGTATTCTGCCCTATCTCCCCGAGGTGACTCAATGCCGCTGAAAAGCATTAGAATGTACCAAAAGAACATAGGTTGAGTATTCCCTATCCAAAATGCATTGGACTAGGAGTGTTTTGGATTTTTAATTTTAGATTTTGGAATGTTAGTATTTGTTGATATATACGTAATGAGATAACTTGGAAATGGAACCATTTTACATGTATATAGTGTGAAGGTATTTTTTACAGTATTTTTGATAATTGTGTGCATGAAAAAAATAGTTTGTGTACACTGAACAACCAGAAAGCAAACCTCTATTTTGATGATACAAAACAAATTCCATTCCAACGTTGTTTGATTTTCCAAAGAAATACTTACAGGCAAATTGCACTGACAAAAGAGCACAACCCATGAATATGTTGTTACTGCAATCAGCTCTAGTCTCTTTAAGACAACTACTTTTATTTTTGGTGTTTTCAACAATCACTGCCACATGATGCGGAAAAAGTGTTATTCTCCTTTCAGCCAAAGGCATTCAACTTTAATACTCAAGATGTGGATCATTAAAGGAGCTGTTGCATAATGAATAATTATGTTTCATTTTTACTACATGTATATATTATACTTTGAAGATTAATTAGTTAATGATTCCAGTATGCCTTGTATCTTGCAAGTGTTATCCATAAGTGCTAAGTGTTATCATTTTCAGATTCCCTTTGAAGTTTTATAAGACTCCCTTCATGAAGGATTCGACTTCTGTTCTGTCCTTCATGCCCGTAAGCTAATTTGTAATCAGGACAAAATAACAGAGCTTTTGTATAGGATTTTGAAAATCTTTATCTCCCTTCCACAGTTTTGACAGCAATGCACCAAAGCTATACAGTCAGTATCCACCTCTCGCACATCCCAACCCAAGCTGAAA